AAAAGGCACGCGAAGCAACGATCTCAGATTCGCGAAGTTGTCACTGCTCCCTCCATCTTGTATATTCCCCGAGGTATCGATGTATTGAGATTAAAGTGTTCCTCCTGTCAGGCATCTATCTAGAGAGACTATCTAAATCGTCCTCCTTGACACTGCCGAAAAGCAGGATCGAGTGCGGTTGGCGTCGATAAAGACTCACTCAGTTGGGTGGCGGCTGGATCGGTGACATGGGCTGCTGCTGCTCGAGTAGGGTCACGACATCTATCCGAGCGAACAAGTGACTACCCAGTACTATTTACATACTCGGAAGTCATTGAATATTCCTCTCCGAAGAGATCAACCAGATCCGCGATCGCCGTCAATCTTTCTTCTTCCGACTGATCTCAGCGCGAGACCTCTGGAACAACATCGGGATCCTTCTGTTTCGACGTGATGCGGAAATTCTTTATGATTCATGATTGTCCCCAAGAGATTCTCGTTCGCGGCTCATCTATCTATTCGGGCGGGTGATTATTGTCTGGGTTTCAACGCATGGTTCTCATGCACGGCTGGAAGCGATTCTTTAAGGTCAGAGGGCGGCACGCTTTGATTGGCGTTCAGTCGTTTATTCCCGCATCAACCACCACACGGACGGGTTTCATTGTCGTCGGCGGCGCATACTCTGCAACGCCGAACACTTTCGGTATTTCAGAGGTCAGATATATGGAGTCCTCCGCACATTAAGGGCTTGTACCGCGCTACTCTCGCGGGACTCCCGTATTATCGAGCGATCACGTTCTCGCGCATGGGCTCCGGGACAACTTCAATCAGAGGCACGTCCCGTTGCGGAAGTTCCACCGGAGCGACTATCATGCTGACCGGAGAACTGTGAACCAAAGAATCGCCTCAGATCCCGTCGCTGGACAGGATGTGCAGCTCGGGGCGCATGTGCATTGCGTGGAATGACCTCCGCTCGCATCTCAGGAAAAACCTAGAGAGACCGTGGGGAAGTACTCCACTCAAAAATCCATCGTAGCGTGAGAAAAGACTTCCGACGTAACGCGGACTTTCGTCTACCGAGATTTGTACACGCAACATCCCGTCGTCGAGAGGCCCGACAACCGGGTATTGCACAACAGTCGGAAAAGAAGACTGTCAGAAACTCGAATATCCTCATATGCAGTCCGTTTCGGAAAACTACACGACTGGAGAGTCGGAGTTCTCGAGCAAGATTTACGGACTCTCCCTCCATGAGATGACATCTGCTCGGCCGGCAACGCGTTTGGTCGTGTGTATAACGGGCATTACGGTCCCGGCACGTACTTTCCGAGCCGTATGAAGAGCTGCGAGCTGTTAGATCCCTGATCCTGACTTCTCGGAAATCTTCACCTCAAATTTATGTCGCCAGCTACGCAGACTGAGCCATCCAGAAAGAGGAAGAAAATCTCGAACGTCGGTTTGGTCGAGGGACGAGGTCCACCCGACCCGTTCTGAATGCGTCCTAAATCTAAAACTGCTGCGTTTTGCACGCAAGCTAGGCTCTAAGCTGTCTGTGCTCCTTCTTTTTATCCGGTTGACAGATGGGTCACGACTCGGGCACTCGATGAGCAGCCGTGCCGGAATATATGTTCACAGAGATCATCTCCGGGGGGGAAATCAACGGCGGTCGGCATGCGTCCCACCACTGAATTCTGCTGTTCATGTCCTCCCGAGGTGTCCCAGTGACCGGGACATCCCCAAAGCCCCCGGAAGTTCATCTTGATCCATGAATGTTTCCGTCAGCATACGTCGAAGTCACAGAGTGTCTATCCGCTCTCGCGGATTCCGTGAGTATCCCGCTCTGATCGTCCCCGAAAAGGCTGACGATGAAGGTCGTGAGCTTGAGGACGAACAACGATCGGATCTGTCTTAATCACAGGAACAACCGTGCGTATCGCAGGAAGTTGGTCACTCTACGTGATTAAGCGCTAGGACAGTCGTCAAGTATTCACCGAATTCTCAGATGCGATTCGGAGAGCGAGCCCTCGTCGTCGGCGCTCCCGATGATTCCGCAAAGCTCGTTGAAATTATGTTCCACGCAAGAGGTGAAATTTTCGAGAGTGCGATATAAAACCTCGGTCCACTGTGCACGTAGCGACAAAGCCTCGAAGGATTGAGAGTTGAGACCGATTCCTCTCGGGCTCCGGATCGGCCTGACAGGACCCGAGAGTTTTCGTCGGCTACCAAAGCGGATCCGATCTGACAAATATTCTCTCACCGGACTCACTCGCGACAATAATCTGGAGCCCATCAATTTTCGTTCTGGGGACCATTTTTGTCTCTAGGGCTCGTTAGGGTCTTCTTTCGAGCTGGTCCCTCGCTGCTGCCTTGAATATCCTGGTGGTGCTCGACCTTCCCGACGGGCGCAGTAAGGATTGGTTACTCGAGGTTCGATGAGCTGGCCTGGCGTTCGCATCGATGCTCGCCTCTCCGTCCACCGCACGGTGGGAAACGAATGCACCACGCGGTTCTGCGGGAGGGAAGGACGAGGTATCGCCTGCACCGTCGCGTATTCTTCGTCCTTACACCAGACGGTTTTCCCATCGTCGCCGACTGGCTTGCACTCTTCCTCGCGGGGTCTCGGGAGCGGTGACCAGTGAACCCGCGTCGCAAATAGGCCCTGAGTCTGCCGAGGTAAGCTGCAGCGATTCACATCACCGCCTTTTTTCCTGTCCGCTGATTTCGGGAGAATCTCACGGCGGAGGGTGCTGTCCATCAGACTCTTGCTTCAAATGAATCGATTTGCTCACTTCTCATCGGGTCGATTGTTCGGATATGTTCCAACGATTGCATCGATTTCCACCGGGAGAACCCTACGCCACGTTACCTACCGGAGGGATGCTCGACTACTTAGCGCAGCTTGCACACCGCGCACGGAACCTGCGTTGTCGTGACAACGCCGCTCGAGCAAATGAGGCCAGCTTCGATCCTGGCTACCGCGGAAACATGAAGGCGACCCCGAACCAGTCGGATACACTTGCTGTGTAAAGAGTGGTTCGCGGTCGCATTGTCCCAACCTAGGCACTCAGGACATCGAGGAGGCGATGTCCAACCCTAGCGGGGGCAGAAAGCGAGCAAATCTGCATTCGAGGGTAAACGAGAAGAACCCAGGGCACGGTTGTGGGTGCGGTCGGATTTCCGGAACCTCAATCGGGCATGATCAAGAACAGTTCTCATATTTCTGCCATCATCTGACGATTGAGCGATCAGCAAGGCTCCAAAGAAGCCCTAGTTTCCGTTTGTAGAGACTTGAGTTCCTCATTCGGAACGGGCCGCGGATGGTCTCCCATCCGCGGGCAGCCTCTCGGCGAGATTGGACTTGTTGTCAGATATTGTATTTGGCTTGGAATGAATCTGATAACCTCGGTGACCTGGTCAATGTCTATCCGAATCCGAGTCCTCCTGGGTCTCCGAATTCCCAGATACTCGGCTCAGGAATACGAGGTTCGTGTTCTGACGTCGGCTTCCTACTCGACTCTTCTCGACTCGTGAATTATGAGCTATCAACCACGATGGGAGGACTCCCCCAACGAGCGGTAGGTCTCTTGGTGCCTTCATTGAGGGACTGGCACACTCCTTCCAACAGAGCAGCCCTACTCCTTCGGTGGTCAATTATTCGAGTGTCGACCTTCGAGACCATAATCGTCGGGCATCCTCCCATTATTATTAATTATTATCATTGTTCCACCCTCTCTCTCGTGCCTGGAGACCCTCCAGTACGTTCAACTCCAGTACCGATCGATGGACATAATCTCACTTGTGTGCAAGAATACCGGGCCAGCCTCGAAGCAAGGCATGCGACGTTCCGATACGCAGGGAGCGCTACTTGACAGCCGCGAATTCAAGGGGTCCCACATCACGCATCGTTCGTGCGTGCCCCTCGTAGGCCGGATTGAAGACTGACTCTTGAGTCGCGATAGATACACTCGGGCCGACGATGCGGGTCTCTAAGCTTGGCCGCCGATCTCCTCCTCTCGCGTATTCTTGCTGTGTGAGTCGATAGCCCCCACTTACTTTCGAGATCCTGCACAAAGCAGGGTTCTGGGGATATATGCAGGTGAATGTCTATGGGGGAATCGCGCAATATCCTGTGACCCTCTGGGTTCGGCGCGAGGTAGCGACTGTCGCGGCCGTTCCAGCTCAAAGGAGAGGGGATCATCATCAGTCATCAGCCCATCAGAGTTCCTTTCGCCCGTTCATTTCTGGGTCCGTCTTCCGGTCTCGTTCTGCAAGTCTCCGGTATGATTTCCGATTGGGGGAATGAATTTGTTTCCTGGAGCACCGGGAGTTCGGAAACCCCATCTGCTGACAGCCCGTTCTCTTAATGAGAGGCAGTCGATGAGAGCTCAAGTATCAGAGTGCGGAGGAAACGTATAAGTCTACACTAGAGGGGCGCGAATCGCACGTTCACACCGATTCTCAGAGATGGGGGACGGACCCATGAGGTCCGCCTTGTCCTCACGGCGCTTCATAGAGCGGGAGCGATGAGCGGAGATTTTCTAGGAATCCTTACGTTTTCATACCATCTCTGGAACGAGGGGGTCCTCCGCTCCGCATCTATAAATATTGCCTCAAGATTAAGGACCGTCATGTCGAATCCGACAAGAAACAAACGCTTGCTGTCCATGCGATCCGCCCCTGCAGAAATGGAGGAACGCCTGCCGAGTAGAGCTCAAAAGTACGGAATCGACCGAGTGATTAAGGCCGCCGAAAATTAGAGCGTACTCGGATGCTCGACTGAGGAGAGACTACGCCAATCCCATTTCAGAACTTTATTTCGTCGACGATTTCTGCTGGTTGACGCACTCTAGCATCGATCTCATATGCGCCGTTTGAACCAATATTCCGAAGATCGTCAATGAGTTTCTCAATGCAGGTTCTTCCCTGCGCGAAACTCCGTTCCTGGACGTGGAAATGAGGCATGATTATTCCCCCCGAAATCTCGATCACCCGACCGATCTTATCATGAGGTCCAGACTTACTCTTATATTTGCCCATCGCTCTCAGCTCCTCTTCCAGTTGTTGTCTGAGGAGTTTCTCATTATCGAAACTGTAGAGGCGATCCTCCAATCTGTGTAGCACCCACTCCTTGGCTTCCATGATCACTTCGATGTGACGTTCCCCCCTCGAATTTTCGAAAGAGAGGGCGATCTACAAGTTTTTATAAAGTCAGTTACTCTGCCGTCCATCGGAGCTCAGATCCGTACTCGACGGCCATTACCACCACCGAACTTTATTCGAAACTCACTCGGTCCTTCTCCTCGGCGTCACACCATTTTCGCAGGATCGTAGGAATATGCTCCTGATATTCATGCAGGAACTCGATGTTCTTGATGTCTCTGACGTTGAGAACCAACTGCGAAAAGCGTGTGAGGTCGAGATATCGGGGGTTCGCGATGAATCGAGATCCATATAATGCTTAGAATGCGTTCATGGAGGGCACAGAGAAATCTCCCTCACCGGTACACAGCTCCGGGTGGTCCAGAAGTTCCCTTGTCCGTGCTCCCTCCCGCAACTGAGGCCTGTTATTGCACATATGTCGTTGGTCACAGCCAGCTTGCTGTATGTTCCGATAGCCGCGCTGGTTATTCTTTGTATCATTTCAGGTAACTTTTTTTGCAGCGCACATTCCCGCTTGCATTTCGGCAGCTCAAGCGCCCGGATCTTTGTGCCGAAGTTCATTGCACAGTAACGGATGAAGAGCAGAACATGTGCACCCATGCTCGGGTCGATTTCCTTCGCAATAGAATAGGTAATTAATTAGACACTTCGCTTGAAGGACTGCGAGATAGACCGCTCTAGATAGAGATCTCACCAGCTCGTGGATGGTGGATTTTCGGCTCTCCTCGAATATGCTGTGGAGACATTCGTTACAGGTGCTGAACTCTCTTTCTGAGCCCAGGAGACCCTCGGCTTCCGCCCATCTCTTGATGACAATCAACGACTTCATTTTGTCCTTGTAGTTGTCATTCTGGAATTTCTCGGACATGGCTTCCGTGATGCGGAGCGCGATGGGACAGTTGGGAACTTCTTCGAAATAATCCTTGTTCACCTTACTACAGTCTGAGAGCTGGTCGAAGACGATCCACGGAGCCCTGGATACAATTCCGAGTCAGACCGGGAGTTGACTTAATTTGATGCTGCGAGAGGAATCTCCATCGGAGGGGAAAAATCAGGGGATCGCGGAGTTTCTGCGCGGACTCACCCATAGAAAGGCGTCAGCTTCTCGCCACCCGGGGGGTCGTAGACGAGCATGTATATCGCCGAGGCAAGCAGCATTTTCTGATCTTTATCACCTCGAGTCATTCTTTCGAAGTCTTCTTTCATTTTCAGATTGAGGAAAAAACGCTAAACGGGAGATCATTCTAAATCAGGCGACGGCTGAGAGCTCCACTCGTTCGCGACAGGGCCATCGCCAGCGAAGAATGACTCGAGACTTAACGGAAGGACTATTATCGAAGACTGAAGGGAGAGCATTTTGTGGGAGGTGGACTTCGAAGATACTCACTTGGCGCTCCAGCTGCTCCTGTAGTTCTTCGAGATCATGAAAGCTCTTCGACATGTATTTGCTGACCTGGGTAACGATGCTGACCATAATTTCAGCCTCGCTCTGTATTCCCATGCGCCCCATGATATTGGTGAGTCGATGCTCGTACTTCTCCACGAATATTAGTGCATCCTGTTTTTTTTCTTCCCAGCCTTCTAATTCGAAGTTCTCGTTCACGTATCTCTCCTCACATCCGCTAGAACCCTGTTTCACAGTGATCTCCAGGGCTCGACTGGCTCTATACAGTTTCCCCAAGACCTTTTCGGAGCTGGAAAATTCTATCTTTACTCCGACGGCCGCGTAAGAAGTGAATCATCGAACGAGCAACTTTAACTCCCCTCCCGCCTTGCCGGGAGAGAATGAAAACATCGAAAACCCTCCGAAGCGGACACTCGGAATCGATTAATTATTGTCTCACCGATAAGTAGCCTTGTGATCCTGCTTCTGCATGAAGTCAGGGTAAACTTTAACGACCTCGCTGGGCTCCAATTGCGTGAGGCGGCCGGTCTTCGCGAAGTCCAAAGTCATGCTGACTTTCTCCGCCAACCTGAGACACTTGTCCGAAAATATGCCTAGAACGACGGAATCGATCGTAAGGAGCTCCGGTCCAGAGACCCCTCTTCAGAAATCGGCGGCCGGAAAAGCTTCCCGCAGGGAATGATCGCCGGCAGGAAGAATTGCGAGGACTTCCGATATACGCACCATCTTCCTCCCGGTCGGCATGCGCGAGGTGAGCGTTGCTGATGGTGCCTTTGTTGTCATTCAGAATGAATTGGCAGATGAAATTGTAATAATCCTCCAACTCGAGGCTTTCGCTCGGCTCGGCCGGGGCATCATCAAATATCATGGGCCTATGATTTCCGTCCGGTCGGGGCGATCTTTTACATTCCGCACATGGACATTTCTTGAAAAGAAGAAGAAGGTGACCCTCCCGTATGCTCGTGGATGCTTTCATGCACGGTCTCCCACACCCGTCCTTCCTGGTTCGCTCCAGAAGAGCCCGGGTTGAAACTATCCAACTCACATCGAAGAAGAAATTCTGGTCCCAAATGACAGCGTATTCGTCACCGTCCAGATCCGACCCGGCCATCTCATTGGGATGCGGTCGGGGACCTTTTTGAGGGAAAACGATGACGTCGACAAGATGCGCCAGTTCAGGAATGTCAACGGCCTCCAACATTCGCACGTCTCCCGGATGTACGCAGGGGCATTTCGTCACGAGAACTCGGCCTAGATTCATTTTCGAGACGTCAGTCAGATCGAAGAAAGACTCCTGGATATTCGGCTCCGGAAGCCTCCCCGGCGACTACATGAGTCATCAGGGCGCATTGAATCGACTTGAGCTCTTTACTCGCCTTTAACGACTTCTGTCCCGGCTTGACGAGGAACTCCATCCTCGTCAGTGTTATTGTCCACTTTGATATCTGGTCCAGACGTATCCTCCCTAGGAGTGTACCTCACATAGACTTGGCCGTATTCCAATTTGCCGGTCTCATCGATAACCCCAAGCAAATTCCTCCCAAGACCCCAAGGGATGGAGATGCGGGCTTTGTCTCTGAGGTTCGCTGGAAAATCATGAGCATTCGTAGAGTGAGATAACAAGACCAAACGCGATGAATAGCGCTAGAAGTTTCATTCGGCTTCAGAGTGTGAAAACGGAGCAAAGTCTCCTCACTTATAATGTATCTGTAGAGCTCAATCAACATGGCCCGGAAGTATGGATCCCGGACGACCGACATTCCGAACTCGCGGAATTTCGAAAAATCTATCACACAATCGGGATCTTTTTTTATGGAGGCTGTCAGCCTTTCGTGAGCCTGATTCTCGAAAAGTAGAGCGTCCGCGAAATCGATGATGTTCGCTTCCTGATAACGCAAGAATATCTCGGCCGGGACTCCGAGCTGTTCCAATATGGTAATAATCTGTTTGTTGAGAGTCAGGCTTCCTGAAATGATACGACGATGTCTCCCGACGAAATAAATGATATCGAGCACGGGTTGAACGGGAAAATTCGGAAAGATAGAGGGAAAATGCACTCCTACATGCTGACTTACTGTCTTCCGAGTATTTGATCACTTCGAAAGAAGAGCTGGATGTCGAGGCGAATTTGACCATGGATTTTCTCAAGACCAATCGCCGTCCCTCGAGACAAGGGTCGAAGGCCACCATTCCTTTGGCTCCTCGGAACCGGATCTTATTTCCCGATGAAAGACAAGACGGAACAATCTTCGGTCAGAGATCCCGTGCAGTAAAGATGTGGCTTCGCCATCCTTCTGAGGTCGTCTGGACCCTGAAGTCCGTTTCTCCGTACGTATACTACATATATGTATATGGGGGGACTCACTTGGAAAGCCGACGGTTTCTTGTCCCTGAGACTGTCTTTGAGAGCTTCGCAGACGTCATCCCTGAGTTCCGCGGATATTTTACCGATGCCGTCACTGAACGTGTACGGCTTATTGGATTTCTCATGCGCACCACCTGGAAAGATTTCCTTTCACTTCCCGATCGTGTCGGTAGTCGAGGAAAATGAGCGAAACTCCGAGACTCGTGAGTCTCATGACACGTTCTGACCTGTGATGTCTTCTTCTATTGTACATTCATCTTCGGAAACCTTGACCGTCTCGATCGTACTCGAGAAGCACAACCCCTCCCGCGCCATCTTTTTGCCGACGTTCTTTATATCATCGAATGATCCCATTTCTTCCCGAATCGACTTTGAATCGCGACCCTTGAAATCAAATTCACTTTGAATCGGTCGCTGCCGGGATCACAATCGATTCTCTAAATAGTTTGCTTGCTATTCGATAAATTCGATTCTCTAAACGCATAAATCGAGGGCGCGTACATGCTCGTCCTTGGCGTAGTACCAACAACCATGATCGCGCAGTTGCGACGAGGACGCGGCCAAGTACTCATAGGTCCTGTTCTCAATTTCGATTCCATCCCTGAGAAATCCCTGCGAAAAATCCGCGACCATCAGAGTCCCCCCAAGAGGCATGGAAAATATGTGCTCCGAAGGGGAATCGGAGAATTGGGCTCGTGGGGGCGACTCACTTTGAGAAAGTACTCCAAGAAATTACGACCCTCCTCTCGAGTCAGATTGTGCGTCAATTTCTCAAGATTGTCGTCTCGGAAGGCGACTCGTAGCATGTAGTCCCTGCTGACTTGTCGCAGAATCCGATTTTCGCCGTGTTCCTCCGGAGGACGCAAAATGGTCCGTGAGGGTGTGAGGAATACCCTGTGGGTACAATGACTTGCCAAGAGCCGCAGGAACGACGGTCCGGGAAGGATCTCGCGGGGGTAGACTCATCGCGAGTGTTCAAGAAGCAAGAAAGATATTTCGCGAGGAACAGATTGCGAAGTCGAAGGCTATTTTACGTACTTGTATATGATAGCCATTCCCTGTAGACTTCTCTCACTGTCGCAGTCCGCGATCCCTTTACGCTTCTTCTCCCGCTCCTGAACCCGGAATTTTCGGAATTGGGAAGGGACGGCGTCGGTGTACAGGAGAACATTACCCTCGTCGATAGCCTTCAACAAGCTGAACATCGTCTTCTCGAAAAGCTCGTGGTTTCCCTCATATCGTGCGAACTCTTTCAACAGCTCGAGAAACTCCCACACCTTCTCCCTGCGGTGGACTCGATGTGGATTAGAAGACATGTGAAACACCTCTCCAGCATGACGAGCTCCGTGCTCCTCGAATTACTCAATGTACGTCTCCTGAACTCACCTGGAGAGGGTCGCCAACTGTCTCAGTAGATCGAAAGAGATCAATTTACAGGCTTCAATGGCATACTTTGCTCTGAACGAGATCGATTCGTCGTTGTAGAACTCGTGCATAATCCCGTTGAGCTGCAAAAGCGCGAATGCGTCGGGAAAAGACGACGAGCTCGTTGGGCAGGCTCGATGGGGATATCGATCGAGAAACACGAGTCCTTGCAAGATCTCGGTCGACTCACTTCTTTGATCGCAGATTTGAGCTTCGGCCTCGTCCTGACCGACGCAATGACGCTTTCACTTCGCTGAAGCTTCGCAACTATAGTATGCAGCCACCGAAGCACTCCTTTGGCGTTCTGCCATTGCAGTCTAAGAACGTTGCAACCTCCGTAGCGGCGAGAAATGATCCGCAGCACGCAGTCTTTTTCAGCGCAGCCCATCAAATGATGACGATGGTATTTCGGTCGTTTCGATTCCCCCTTCGATTCGGACAGGATTGCGGGGTGAGTTATCCGCAAGTATAGGTTGGTCTCTCCTTCTCGGAGGTCAACGATCGCACGCGCGACCGACGAATAATTCACTTCCAGCTTCTGGCTCGTCTTGCCGCCATTCAACTTCTTGCAGGAATGTATCATGTCGATGAAGATCGAAAGTTTCTTGTGAACGTGGTCGAATTTCGCCTGGAATGATGAGCGGGTTACGAGTGTCTCCGGAGACCCGAGTTAGACTCATCCGTCATATAAACTGGTATAGCAGCAAATTAGAGGCATATTCTTGTCGGGAATAGGTAGCTCTATTTTTTTCAGAGACGGCGAGAACGAGAGGAAAACATAACGCTTGCGAGCTCCACCTTAGCAACTATGCCGGATTTCCACGGCCCTTTTGCATCCGGGATCGTGCAAGGGATGACATCCTCTGGATAGAAGTCTGTCAAATTCATGATGATTCCGAGTGACAGCTCCTTCACATAAAACTCGTCTCGCACCAACCCCTTCTCGATTCCTTCGAAGAGATCTTGGTCCGAGCCACGACTCAGCCAAGCTTCTAGTTCGGGGGGAGCCGTACACCATCTATGGTAGAGATAAGGCAGCTGGCTTTTCGACGGGTTCTTTTCGTCTTTCCGGAACTTGACGAAAAACTTTGCCTCTGCAAACGGAGCTTCATAGATGAGTCCGTCACCCTGTTCTCTAGAGCGTGACCTGCGTCCTCCGGTGCGATGAATCACGATCGGTTTCACGAGACAATGGTCTTCAATGCGGAGCCTATGTTTCTCACGATCTAGGAAGTCTGACACCGGCGTAACCATCTTCTCGAAAGCTGCCGTAGAAGTTTCTGACTCGGGTCTGATGAAGCTGACCACCAGCAGGGTTTCCTCGTACTCTGCCATCTGGAGGAAGAGAGGAAAACACTGACTCCGTGAATGAAGATGATCTCAGAATCGATGACCTGTTGGGTCTCATTTCCAGTCAACGGTAAGTAAAATACCGTAAGAACTGCTGGATGGTTCTCAAACCCTGCGCTCGAGGAAGCCTGAGCTCTCGGTGGCGGACCTATTTTCTCCTTGGAAAACGGAGCAGCGGACTTGCTCGAAATGTTCGACAGCGTACGAAATCGAAATCTTCAACTTCCCACCGTTGACCTCACTCCGGGAGCTCACGCTCGGAGCGGACTTGGAGAAAGCCGATGAGCAGGAGGAATCCTTCAACCCACGAAAAATGAACTTCCTCGATACGCGAGCCACGAATGCTCAGAATTCATCAAACGAAATTCAAGTACCGTGGCACCCCTTCCGCTCAGGTTGTGTTCCAATGTTATGAATCATTCGCCGCGCGCATGCACAGAAAGAGCGGTGTGGGGCGATGGATCTCACCGGGAAGTCCCCGCCGTCCTCCGCATCAATCAATGAAGAACTACCTGAGCCCAGGTGTTCGGAACGAGCGAGCCTGCAGATACCAGAAGGTCTCTAACAGCTGACTGCGAGACACCGCTCGCGAGGCTGAAGACCGGTCTCCTGTCTTCACTTTCGAAATTAGTCCCCGTCTATCCGTTGGCGCTACGTAATACAGACACACACTTCCCCCGTCGAATTCACCACTCACCACGTTCGCTCCATTGGGGGAAGCCAGACAGCTCCGGAGAACGCAGTCCCCTCATCCATGGATTTCGTCCGAACGATTCCGAACCAGGATCACCCGTTTAGATCTTGGAAGTACCATAGCCGGGAAAAGGATCTCGATCTGTCGGTCGATGCCGAACGTTAATTTTTGGTACATTAAGGTCGTTCTGTGCTCAGAACAAGGGTTCGCGGAGCCCTTCTATTTGTAAAAAAAAATTAGCCCCTCAAACGGAGCCGCGGTCGCATTGAAGCGACCGATATCACAGATCACGTCCCTGAGTTCAATCCGGGTACTCCCTGGGTAAGAGCCATTGCCGTAGAAATAGTATCAACTCTTTCGCTCGACGACACGAGCCTTCGACACAGAGCTTTTCATTCCAACTGTTTATTCCCATTAAGATTGTAGGCCTCAGATCAGGCAATCGGAATAAGTATATTCGATATGCGATGAGAAGACTCTCAGCAGCTGCTCGAGCTTTTCGTTGACCTTCGGAAACCATGCTTGCTCGACCTGCGATTATTTCAAGCCATATCGAGCACGAGAGCAGGGATCAGCGATATTCATGATGCTCCGTGTTCTCCCTTGGTCTTCCGATCCCGTCGCGTCAGGATGAGCGCGGGATCAGCTTTCGAAAAGTGCGCGTCATCAGTTGAGCCTCATGAAGCACTCCACGTCTGTTCGCCGGGCTCCTGAAGATTCTCGGTTGCTATTGGACTATTTTGACATAAGAATAGTAGTCGAGAGACAACAGTATTCCAAAGTTCCGACCCGACGAGAGAAATGTCGAGAGACAGCTGAGCGCATGTTTCGAAATTATTCGGCGGACGCGTGTTGCGGTGTCTAAGCTTATTGCCACTCTGAGCGGAGCACATTTTCGGTGGCACACCTGGAGTGCCGGGTACACCATGGCTACCTTGGTGAAAGATGTTCTTGCGCTGGTTGGTGAAAAGAACGAGCTGACATCGGCTGAAGCCGCCAGAATACTTAGCCAAGATCATCAGAAAATCGTCGGTGCGGTGAAGAGTATACTCTGTTTTCCGGGGGTGAGTTTCTCGGGAAGAGGACGTGGAAGTCTCCGTATCTCGTTCCATACAGGAACACTTGCTGATTCGAAACCTCGAAGCTGATTAGGAATTTCGGAAGAGATTCCCCTGTGAGTGACAGAGAGACAGCGACCGCGCGGGCTCTGTATCAGGCCACCCAATCGAAAGATACTGATTTTCTGGCGCCTCCGACTCCCTAAGGCGACATCTGTTCACAAATTCTGTGCACGCATCGAATTGAGATGCTCCTTCCTTCCCATTGCGGCGAATTAAAACGTTGCTCCTTCTCTTGTATAACGTCGGAAACCTTCAAGGATGATGTAATCGTCGATCGTACTCAGCGCAGAATCCCCGAAGATCCATCGAGCCCGCCGTTAGGAATAACTCCTCATGAAACTTTAGACAAGGCCTCTGAACTCGAGGTCTCATCGCACCTTTTCTATTCCAATCCAGATCATAGAAGCTGATTTGAAAGCAGAGAAGAGCTTCGAGCTCACGGCCGAAGGTAAACAGATCGCTCAAGACGGCAGCCATGAAGCGGCAGTGTACAATGCCGTGCCGATTGATGGAGGCATCAAACAGCCTGATCTCATGGTAGGTTGCTTTTTGAGCCTCCTGGATACAAAATCCGCTCGAGGGCTTCTCGCATACAGAGTTCGTATTTTCAGAAATTGGTCGGGGCTAGCGGTAAGGTAGGGTTCAGTAAAGCCATGTCGAATGGATGGATCACGCTCGACAAGAGTCACCCGGAAGGACCGCGGATCTCACGGAAAGTAGATAAAATCCAGGATGAGGTGAAATCCATCCTCAACACCATCCACCAGGGTTCGTATCCCAAGTTCAGAACAGGATTCCGCTTCCTTCAGCGTCAGACCGATCGGACGTCGACTGATCGTTCATTTCTCCAGGGTCGGCGCAGGTGGACACATCGAAGTTGAATGACTTGAAGAAACGGAAATTAATTCAAGAAGTTCAAGTGAAGATATATGTGCTAAGAAAAGGTCCAGACTTCAAGCTGGAGCTCGAAAAGCAAGAAACTGATCTGACCGCCGAAATGATCGCATCGGGGGAGTGGGAGACGAAATCTTTCAAAGAGTACAATTTCGATGCCATGGGCATTCAACCCGATCGAGGGCATCTGCATCCCCTGCTCAAAGTGCGGGCAGAGTTCCGGCAGATCTTCCTCGAGATGGGCTTCACCGAGATGCCGACAAATCGTTTCGTCGAGTCCTCGTTTTGGAACTTCGACGCGCTCTTCCAACCCCAGCAGCATCCAGCCAGAGACGCACACGACACCTTCTTCATCTCAGGTTCGTCGCGGGTTGTAACTTTGTCAATATGAAGGCGGAGTTTCCGGGAAAATAAGACATCTGGAACAATTCTGAATCATGAACTCATGACTCATGAATGAGCCGTTGCAAAAGACAGTGATCGACCATGAATTTATTGGATTATTATTCATGGAGGGCCATCATAATTTCACACAGTCTCGGTAGCTTCATTGATTTGACCCCATTATGATCATAGATCCAGCAACTTGCACCAACTTCCCGGAGGATTATGCTGAGATCGTTCGCAAAACACATTCGAAGGGCGGCTACGAGTCCCTGGGCTACAACTACGACTGGCAGTACTCCGAAGCCGAGAAGAATCTCCTCCGGACCCATACCACGGCGGTCTCCGCGCGAATGCTCTATAAGCTCGCCAAAGACGGTTTCAAGCCATCGAAATTCTTCAGTATCGATCGTGTCTTCCGAAACGAGACTCTCGACGCGACCCATCTCGCGGAGTTCCATCAGATTGAAGGCGTCGTGGCTGACCGGAAGCTGACCCTCGGCAATTTGATGGGAGTCATCAAAGCGTTCTTCGATAAACTTGGTAAGCCGATTGGTATTTGAAAAGAAATCAGAACTTTCTCCGGAACCAAGGGCAGAGAGTCGTAATGAGCTCCGCTGTCATTCGCTTTGCCCTCAATAGAGCCATTTGCGTTCCAGGCATCAAGAAGCTCCGTTTCAAGCCCGCCTACAATCCGTACACTGAACCGTCGATGGAAATCTTCTCTTACCACGAAGGCCTGCAGAAGTGGGTCGAAGTTGGGAACAGTGGGATGTTCCGGCCTGAAATGCTTCTCCCAATGGGTCTGCCCCCGGACGTCAAGGTGGGATATTGTAGGAGGACCCGGATAGAAACAATCACTGTACTGGGGATGAGTTAGATTCTGACGCCGGCCCTTTTTCGATTTCAGGTGATAGCATGGGGTCTATCACTGGAGCGACCTACGATGATCAAGTACGGAATCGACAACATACGGGATCTCGTGGGACACAAGGTCGACCTGCAGATGGTTTACAACAATCCTATCTGCCGATTAGACAAGGAGTGACTGCAATGTTCCAATAAATGATTTAACTTATCAACCGATGAAGAGCTCATTTTGGTGAGGGGGGGAGTGGGGGGGAGCCACTCTGGAGACGTTTGTGCTCGGGGGACCGCTGAACTTTTCCCCCTACAACGGATCTCACTGTTATAATTGATACTCCCACAGCGAGAGAGCTGCCAGACCAATACCTCGCGGATCAGGCAGGCGGAGCAGATCGGGCAGCCGACAAGGGGGAGCAAATCACGACACTTATTCGCCGAATACGCCTTTTTATTTGATGGCTTACCGACATTCTCAATTGGCGCTGAGCTCCGATGGATCAGTATTCGAATCGGTGTACATACAGGTACTTTGCACTGCAATAAATTAGACCGGATTCACATCGATTTGGTATAAGAACGATTGAGCCTTCTCCATCAATGTCGTCCCCGACTTATACTGCCAACGACGCAGAGCGTTTCAGTCTCTCGATTATTGTGATAGGGAACTCTATCTGAGAATTCTCTCGGATATTGTTCCCGTGAGATCCATTCCTTAATGGGTCGAGGACAGAGACCAATTCGACCGAATACTGCGGAGGTCCTGTGGAAATTCCCGTATAGATAAGCGACGCGCGTCGTCTGCAGACTCTGTCACTCACATTCGCCAGAGTCTCCCGGTCACACGTCAAAGCTCCCCTTCGAGAGTGGACCTCACTCTCAGCATCATTCAAATACATGGAATGACTTCTTGGATATTGCTCATACATAATTCTGATAAAATGGCACGAAGTTCCGTCCAATCGGGTATGTGTCTATATCTATACTCCACGCACAACAGGGTTCGGATGCATCCGCGCAGCGTCCGGTGCTTCTCACGCGTAATATGGCTTTTCCCGTGGAATATCGTGACGTACATATCTTCGATGCTGGACACTCAATTGGATAAGTAATCCCTTTTTACCGGAAAGTTTATAACTGCATTAATCCGGTATTTTCCGGAAAAGCTCATCGGCGGCACGGTGGGCACCCACAACCATTGATCCCTTTCGTTTTCGCAATGGAATCGGGAAGGTCAGCATTGAGTCTCTTCTGTGTAAATATTGCGGATATCACAACTGCAGTGCATACTCCACGAAACGGTGGGACTTTCATCTTCAATAGAGTTCGTCATAAGTATTCATGGTCCGACTATCGATCTGTGGAAGTTATTCCAAATAAAAATCACGGCTTAGGAGTGCGTTACTCCTTTCCGAGCGATAAGCATGTTCAACACGGAGTTTTTCTTGATGTATTCCACGGCTTTCCTATGAGTCACCATGGTGAAATCGTATCCATTCACTTGCAGGATCTTGTCGTGCTGCTTCAATCCACAGTGCTGTGCTGGCGAGTCCTCGTAAACTTCGGTCACGTAGACGCCCTGTGCGGGAAGTAATAAGAGAACGTGTTCAATCTAGATCCAGTACGGATCCTGGGACACTATACACCTCATCTAGAATTTCGAGAGACGGTAGCTGGATCCACTGATGGCCGGATCTGCGAGATATTCAAGATCGAGCAGGTCACCATAATTCGCAAACTTACGTTGTCGGTGTACCCCTGAGGACTTTTCGTGAAATCCTGATCTATGCCCCCTCCTACTCTGAATCCACACCTCATGATTTCTCGGCCTTCGGCATCAATGGTCACCTCTTTTGCGAGTTTGATGGGGATCTGGGGGAAAATTTTATTTAGTCCTCGAATCGTCTCCGGCTCCCGGCGCTCACCGACGGCTGCCTTCGAGGGAACTTCACCGGAATTCTGTTTCCATTGAAACCAAACTGGGTCACTCACGCTCAGACACTCAATCGCGGTGCCAGCTTCGTGATTGAAAGCCATGGTTCGAATTAGAGAACGATTCGAGCAGTGGATTCGCTTCTGTATGGAGCAGGGAACAGCCACTGCCTCCTCTCGATGGAGCACCGCGACTAAACCTAGACATACACTGTATGGGGAAGTTTCCGAAGGCTCATAGTGGCAGTGGCCGCGCGCTGCCTTCCGGGAGAGCCGCCATTGTGTCTCATGAGCTTGCCAGCGATTGCCCGACCTGACCGGAACGATTCCGTGCTCAGTATTCTAGCTTTTGTTGGGGAAAGACGAAGAAATTCCTCGGTAAACGGAAGTCCACTCAGGACTGTATGTAAACCGGGGCGCGAACCGATTAGAAAGTGACTAGCATCCCCAAATCGCGATGGAAGCTGTCCCTCCATTCCTCTCAAATTAGTCGAGCGTACGCCCTCCGTCTGCGAGGACCCAAGTCTTGCTGACTGAATGGGTGAACCCCCACTCCGCCCGGACAGCTGTCAGATTGGCGCCAGATTTTTGAACTGTAATCATCGAGGGAGGGAGGACCGCCCACGGCAGCAGGCTGCACACACGAACTCCTCTGCTAGTCGTTCACTCTCCATTTCACTTGCCCACTCTACGAACAGATGAAATGAACAGTGAATAGTTATAGTGCTCTCGGTACTGAAAACATCCGGTGCACGGCTGTCAATCGCTCGCGGAGCGCGCAGGACAGGCGCGAGGAAGAAGATGCTGTGAGATAGGACCTCATACAGAGTCAATAGTCTGTACTCCATACTCAGCATGTCTATCAACAAGCGCGCAGGTAAACGAGATTCCTGAACTCACGCGGGGTTTGTTTCTGATGTTTCCTGGGAGTGTTCGGATGGAGTTTCCCGAGCCCGGAACTAGATTATTATAAGCATGAGCATCCATCATGATCGGAGGGAGAATCGTCGGGTTCAAGATGAAAGAATTTCGAAAATATATTCCCGACGATTCTTAATTACAACTCGTCGGAAGAAATCGACGAACCGACTTAACTACATCGAGCTTCTCACCCTACTGTTAAAATTATAAGTACTAGAGTATGGTCGGAAAAGGTTGAATGGAGCTCGGCTTCATTCCCCTTTCTCCGTGTTCCCGGATGCAGTCATTGTTCCGGACGATTCCACGACCATATTTTCCGCTCTGAGTTGGGCGGGAAGCGTGGAAGGTTCCGAAGGCAAATCTTGGCGGAATAAGCCATGAGTATCACCACCCTACGGATGAAGTTATCTTCGTCGGAAGTTGAAAAACCCTGCATTGATTCAGTTCTTAATTCTTTTCCAGAATTGTATATATGGCTGCTTTTATATTCCGTCCACTTGATTTTCACCTGTGAAGCGGCTCGGATCATCGAATTGAGCGATAGATTTCTCGAGTACAAAGACAAAGACGTATGGCTCGTCAAGGTAAGCCGGCATTCGCCTACATATGCCTTCTATGTTTGAGCTATTCCCCCGATTCTCTGTATTCAACCATTGTCTCTCGGAGGGTCGAGTACGAAAAATTGTCTCTCTCATGCAGTTTTACGCTCCGTGGTGCAATCACTGCAAGAGGCTTGAACCGGTTTGGAGTCAAGTAGCGCAGAAGCTAGTGAACACCGATGTCCGGGTCGCCAGGCTCGACTGCAACAAATACACGTCTCTCGCGCAGCATTTTCGAGTAGGAGGATTCCCTACGATTTTATAGTAAGTCATGTTCGTCGTAGGGTACCTTGACGAAACCTGGTTTCCTCGATCCGGATCCGGAATACTAGTAAATCTATTTCTGTGCAGATCTGAGTGGGAATGATTAGAAATTCGTCGTCGTTTTCAGTATCAACAAAGACAAAGTCGTCGACTACCAAGGAGAGCGTCTCCTCAGTCCGATATTGGAGTTTGTGCGCAGAGTTCATGGTCCCTCGATCAAGAAATTCAGCAACTGTGAGGACATGAGGAAAATCCTCGATTCAGGCGATAGAGACAATCGTCAGGTTCGTCGAATTCCTCCGCATCAGGAGGAAATATGATCAGAAGTACACGTAGTCCGCGAAAACGGAAAACTCGATATCAATTCTCGATACGCGCAGAATAATTTTGGACAAATTCTTCTGTTAATCGATAATGATGGCTGGGGATGGATGTGCGATCCGATCTCGATTGGAACACTTTCTTTCAGGCGAGTTTCGTTCTGGCCACGCATCCGGAAGGTCACGGAGAAGCTGGGGAGCTTGTCAAGAATTTCACCGAGCACGCGGAGCATATGTATGCCTACAACTACTTCATCGATGTCCCGATCCATTGCGTCGACGAATCCAAGGATCACAGTTGGATCTATGTCCACAAAGATGGGGCGTTCGTCCCCTATAACAGTGAGTCCCCCGAGCTTCAACGAATCTCTCAAGAATGTACTGAATAGACAGTTTGAACGGAAATGCAATGACCAAGGCTTGTAGTCTGTATGATGGGTGCTTGTTCTGTCGAGCGTGAGTTTACTCATTTCGGGAATTTCGTTCTCTCCAGGTGAGAAGTATCAGCTGCTGGATCAGTTCATAATCTCCGAGCGCTTCCCGGCGTTCCAGAGAATAACTTACGCGAACTTCCGTCAAATCTTGGCAACACGTAAAATGCTGGTGGCTGCAGTCCTGGAAGAAAATCAGATCGGCAGGCTGGACACAATGAGAATGGAAGAAGTCAGAGACATGCTCGAAGCCTTAGCAGAGAACACGAAAGAGCTCTACCACGAGTGAGTAAATTCGAAGCGTCAAGTCGGTTCAGATGCTCAAGCAGTGACATTCAAGTGACAAGCTTCCTTAAAATCGATCATTCATTTCCTCAGCAAATTCCTGTTCGGCTGGTTCCCGTCGACCGAGATTCCGTACTCGATTGCGATGACAGAGCTACGATTGCCGTCCGTGATCGTTGTCGATCCTGAGACCTACAAGTATTACCTAAGCAGCTCTGCTGATGACCCCGAGGACATCATCAAGCTTCTCGACGCCATCGACAAAGCGGACCCTTTACCGCCGAGTTTCGGCGGCAACACTCTGCCCTACAGAATATACAGATCCTATTTCGATGTGTCACAAAACCTGAAGAACATGTATCGGTCGTCGCCAGTTCTGACGTTCGTGATATTCCTCATACCGACGGCCTTCTTCGCCGCAATCTGTTACTTGACGTGTTGCTCCGATTTCCTCGAGTCATCCGATGAGGACGAGGACGAACTGGAAGAAGAGGACGATGATCATGAAAAAACGGATTAGCCTCCATGTCCGAGGTCATGGATTCTGCGACTCAATTATGCTCCAAATGGGGACTTCGTTTAAGAGGCTCCGATCGATTGCGGATATAAGCTGCGCATCGTGTGAGGAGAATAATACCAGAAGAGGGACGCAATCTCATCGACTCGGAAGACGAAGGAGAGAAGATGTCGAGCGATTCCGAAGCTGATACTGTGAGCGGCGTCCTGTAACTTTCCTCCGATACAGCGGAGTCGGAGGAGGCGCACTAGCATGGAGAAGGTCTCCGTGCGCCGGAGACCAGCGGTCCGAGAATGTGAGCCGCTCGTCATCACAAGCCTCGAACGGGCCATCATAAGTCCCACGAACGAGTGGTCAGACTCATGAATCTCAACCCACAGCTGCCTTTGTCTCAGATTAAGAATACATCGGATCATCGCTTTCATCACATTCACGTAATTCATCCATCATTATCGCTTCAGAGGTGGGGAGAAGTGAAGTTCTTCTCCCCAACGTCGACCGAATCGATTTCGACTCAGCTCGCAGCGAAACAATGCTCGGGAAGTGGATATGTACCGTATGTTGATATTCACTCATTCCATGTCTCCCCGACTCTCACGAATAAAAATTGTCCTCGGCGAGTCCGAACAGTGGTCATCTTGCTTCGCGGTCTGGACGACATAGACCCGTCGTGACGCGCGAATCCAGACGCCACACAGTGCGCCAGCGGTAGCCAAGGGCATATTGTCCTCGAACCCGGATTGAAGCTCTCCGAACTGTCAGTGGATAGAGAAAAAGTACCGGGAGGTCTCAGAATTCGCCGAAGCTCCCGAGTTCTGCCCCGGAAGAAGAATACGAGCTGTCCTGGTGTAGTCCATTAGGAAAGATTTTCAGAGGAACCCGGAACGCGAATGTTCCAAAGCAGTCCGATTTGGACACATGGTTTTTGCGGGAGCCCGAGGCTCGACAGCTCCGGAAAAAAATGACTATCTTTAGGAGGAACACGTTTCGATGAATCAACCGGGGGCCCTGAACCAGAGATTCGAAAGCTGTAACTATTCGGCTCGGAATCCCTTTTAGAGATGACTCCTTCCAGCATGGGTTTTGGGCTTCTCCCGGGTCGGAGAACCTGGTGATCGTGAGGGGGGAACTCCTCAATAACTTAGGTGCCGAGTTCCGGACGAAGAATCACATTTCCCAAAGATCCCTGAAAGTTTTCAAAGACGGGCATTTTTTCACTTATCTCAGCTCGGGGCCGCGTTTGCGCCTTCGGGCTGTGCGCATGCGCTCGAGACTCTCTTCTCTCTGCATCTTCTCCTAGACCGGAGCTCCGAGAAGCTCCCTCAGTTGGTTTCGTTCAGCACGCCTATCTCGAGGACGGTTTCCAGAGCGGAATTCTTCGAACATTGAATCGGGGAAAGATGATTCGATTGCGCGGATATCTTCCGGTCTTCGCAATCGCCTTCCTCTTTTCTGGTACCGAGTGCAGCCTAGAAGGTGAGTTCTTCGCCGACGTGAGTCGATTCGAATTGGGTTCAACTCATTCCACGAGTCAACGTAACCCATTCGAGTAATCTCCGATTTCAGTCATTGATATCAACCTTAAGGATGGCGGTGAATTCGGACCCGAAAAGGCTAACGTCTGCGCTGGTCAAGTTTACCTCTTGAAATTAGTTGGACTGAATACACAGGGTGAGTTTTCAACCAGCTCTCAACATCATCGACAGTCAGACGTTTGATTTTCCGCTCGACTCCGGGCCATATACCGAACATCGACCATAAAATATGTATTTAGATGATGACAAATGTGAGCATTCTCCCGATGAGTACTCGGGTGACTGGATCCCACGAGCTTAAGCGATCGTGCGTTCTTCCCTCAGATTCGAACTCGGTCGAACACGCTGCTTCAGTGGTCGGATATCCGGATCTGCCGAGATGGAACTTCATCAAGCCTCACAAGGATGATCTACTGCTCTACGGGAGCTATCCGGAGAATGATACGCTCGATGTCCAGGTGAGCTCCCGCTCAAGAGGATTTCGGCTTTATGCTGATTCGAGTCGTCACTATGAGCCCATGGGACCCACACCTAGAAGATTACAGACTTCCCGTCGCTGACGGTGACCTATCTACTCGTTAATGCTCCTCAAAATTTTCAGATCATCTCGACAGATCAGGAGACTTTCGAGTCAACGGATCGTAGATTCCAGCTGAACGTAAGACGACGCAATCGGAGCCTCTTGAGGTGTCTCCTCATTTGAGATGAGGAGACTTCACGAAGTGCCCTATATCTTGCTGCAAAAGACGGTGATCGTGGGACCTAATTGTTGTTCATCTCTCCGGTTACGATATAGGTCCTGCCCTGTCGGAAGCCCCAAGCAAACTTCGAGGTCGAGATGAAGTTCATGAACTATAATATCGAAGATATATTCGGTACGGACGTCCTGCAACGCCTCGAAGCAGTGATGCAGGTGTGTTGAATGAACCATGATTTCGGTGGATTAAGGAAAGATTTCCCTGCGATAGTACCTGAGTTCAGCAGTGAGACCTTTCTCTCCGCGACAGAACCTGTGGAGCTCAAGTCAAAGAGTTTACGTGAGCAAAGTCGCATCTGTGCTCGATGTCGGTGGGAGGAAGCCGATTGATCCGCGCGATAAAGAAGGGTCAGTTGACAGGTATCGACGTCATCCGCTGCTCCGGTATGATCGATGTCCAGTTCTTAAGTGAGAGCGGCGTTTTTCAGATTCATTGTGAGATTCGCGGCAGAACAAAATTTTTCCTCCGAATTGAGAGGCTTGGAACTCGAGGTCAGGCAGCTCAGAAACAGGGTACCCTGTCCGCGTCATTATAAGAGGTGAGGAGACGAAAAAAAATGAAGCGTCGCTAAGGCTACGGGAGAATGTTGGTGTGAATCCATCCGATTGAATTTCACAGGACTTCGGTGGAATGGCGCTTCCGCGAACTCGGATTGGCGCCCGATTGGTGTGGATTCCGTCTCTTCAAGGTGAGTGAGCTAGAGAGCTCGGTGGTGTCGCCTTTCCTCGGGTTTCTGTTCGACAACATGCGAGACGTCGAAGGAGAGGCGATTTCAGTTTAGAGAACTCAAGGGTTGCACTTTTCGATATCAGGGAACCGTCGCCGCGCAACGAGTCATCCCTCCTGAAGAAATTCCGATCGCGCCGCTACCGCCTTTTGACGGCCCCGACCTCGACGAGATGCCCCGGAGAACGACTACGAGAGACATCTTCGTATCGCTGCTTGTTCCTCTGGTGATTTGTTTTGCTCTCCTCGCCGGAATCGGGGGAACCTCTCTGTGCCTCTATTCCAATGACGAAGGCGACGGGAAATGAAACTCTCCCTGTCGGTCTTCATGACCTCTGACTGAGTAATGCGAAACCGATCCGAAAAAGATCTCATAGAACCGTTCTCGAAAATGTCCAAAAAGAGCGCTTGGCTGACTGCCTTCTTGCGGAGCGAGTCTCCGAAAGAGTTCCTCCCAAACTTCGAAGCCCGAGGATCCGACTCCGAGGCAATAGAGTAGGCTGGATCGTGATCTCAATAATAGCCCTAGACTCTCATTCCGGGGTGCGAGACATGGAGGATGAGTCGGGTAATTTCGAAAACTTCGGGCAGTCGGGAGGACGACTGCGGTGTGATGTGAATGAACGGTGTATGTGATTTGATACCCTAGGTAAGATTCTCCTGAGCCAAGCTTGACTGTCACGGTCCGCCAGGCGTCAGGCTTCCAATATTCGTAAAGCCACTCGGCCGAGCAAGGAGATAAGAGTACCCGCCGAAGATATTTGTTGCCGTTATAGATCATCCCCTTCTCTGAACACGGTGCTATATATCCGGGGGTATCGGTCCCCCCGGGAACGATGCCTTTCCTCATCGAATTCTGTCCGGACGGAAGTCGAAGAAAGCCATTCCATGGATTCCCTTTAATAAAAAATAATAGATTTCTCCATTGAATAAGTCTTCTTTGGGCCAGTGCAACCCGAGACCTGAAGATTCGAACACAGTTTCTCTAGATATCCGGAGGAAATGAACTACATATATTCGGAGCGATTCCGTCGTCAACGGTGATGTTCGTGATTAGTCTCCCGGGAATAGTACAACACCAGGGAGTTCTCATGGTATTTATTCGCGGCGAAAGTTCACTTGTTCCACGGTCATATGATACAGTAGGCAATTTAGGAGATGAACAGAGAACCGAAAATTACATAGAAAGAGCCCAATCGAGCAGCACCTGAGTGCTAGACTTAAGTAGGGCTCTCTTCTTTACATTGCACTTCAGGAAGCATACATTAGCTCCTCATTAAATCATTCTATATGTTCAAGATACGAGCAATATACAAGATCAAACTTTGGTGGACGCTAGGCTTCAGAAATCCTGCACCCATGGGTTCTCCCCGACAAACGTATCTACAACTTCTTTCATAGCAAGGTTTGGTATAAGTTGATCCTGGAAAAAAAAGTTACAGGCGTGAATAATCCGGGAGGGTACTCAAAATTACGCTCAGCCAGCACGAATCGCGACGAAACGAAATTCGTCGACTTCCCGTCTTTTTAACAGAATATGAAACTTCGCCTACCTGTGTAAGCGGCGTTCTTGTAACGGGATCGAAGTGCCCGACTCTCTGTAGGTGCTCCTCAATGTCTTTCCTGTCGTATGTGATGCCGGAAGGCGTGATAACGGGTTCGTTCATGATCTCGAACGATATTTTCCCACAAAGGAAGTCTGGGACTTCACGTTTCCGACGGCGCTCGTCGACTTTGGCGAAGAGCTGATTCACTTCCGACAGCACACCTTCGTGCTTGTCCTGTATCTTAGCGACTTCACTCGCTGGAACGAAGAATCGAAGAAGAACTTAGAGCAGCGAAGTGTATTTTCAGAATCTACGTGGAATTACGTGGCAATCTCAATCGAGCTCCCGTATTCCATCGCCCAGACAAGCAGACAACAAGTTTTCCCACCTGGGGCCTTATTATTCTCAGCGTCCCGGAGTTTCTTTTCGAAATCGGATATAATCAATTGATTGAGGTAGCCTTGCAGCTCGATCTCTTGCTGCACTCTTTTATCTTCTTGGAGATTCCATCTTTTTTTCCGCGCGATTCTCAGCTGGACCGCGATGTCGTCTCCGTAGTTCATTTTCTGCTCTTTGGCTAAGTCGAGAGCGCGTTGTAGGTGCACAATCGCCTCGTCAAGGGAGTCGAGTTCCAGCAGAGCAGTGCCTGTACATTCGAATTTACAGAAGAAAGAAGTTTGATGAGAATCTCATTCCACTTTGTCGTTTCCGTCGTGGTCTCTTCGTATCATGCTTCGCGCGCGATCATAAATCCGCCCCCAGTGCGATTCACAAGCGATGACCATCGAGCTAGGATTGTTTTGGCGCCAGGAATCGATCCGTATGAGAACAAATAAAAAATCATCATATAAATCACGACTCACCCAAGAAAAATTGGCCCTTGACATTAGTCGCGTCCAGGTCGATTGCTCGTCTACAATCTTGGATAGCGAGCTCCCACTGATGGAGCTTGGTGTATGTGAGGGCTCTGTTGGTGAAGTAAAGCGGAACCGAGGGATTTTTGATCTGGAAACAGAGAAGGGAACGTTTTTTCTTGGAACGTTGTGATCTCTTCAGCGAAATCCGCGGGGCATGTCTTTCTAGGGAATGGTTCGTTTCCGGAAGCGACTCGGATCGTTCCTCTTACATAGCAGAAATTCCTCGAATGAACTAATATAGAAAATCTGACGGAGATTCTCTCCATCTGGGAGTCCATCAACTCCGCACGGCGATACTGTCGTTTCTAGAACGTGACCGAAAGTCCTTCTGGGTCAACAAAGTTTCAGCAGCGGGAACCTCCGTCTCCCGCTCAGCTGCTTGTGACCACGGGTTTGGAGAGCGTGGATATACTCAGAATATTCGACAATTTACAGAAGAAGCGATGGACTCACGATTGCCTTCGAGTAGCACTGACAGGCCTCGTCGTATTTCCGGACTGAGAACAATTTATTTCCAAGTTCACGCAACTCATCGGCGGTCAAACTCTCCATCTTGACCTGCTGTTTGCCTCCCGAACCCTTCATTGTACAGACAACCTCCGGCGATTTTCTCGGAGGCGAAGCGGGATGGACAGCTTGAGGTAACTGCCGTGTCACTGTCGAAAGATCGGCAACAGACCGGAGAAGCGACCGACCGACGGAAGTATCGGCGACGAGAGCACTCCAACTAAGCAGCGATTTGAGGAGAACGGGGAACCACACAGCTGACAGCAGACAACGGCGCACCGCGTTCTGCGCATACGGGCTGGTCGTTCAAACCGTGGCGGGCAGCGCCAGCGCAGCGCCGACGTCAGCAGCTCCCTGCGTATCCGAGACAGCGGCAGCCACCTTCCGGTAAGCGGTCTCCTCGGGATTCAGATCCAGAAGTTTCGACGGAGAGCAGCTGATGGTCAGATGACGGATGCCCTCAGAGTAGCAGCATTCACGTCCCGGGAGCCACCGCACCGCAGCTACTATTTCTTGGTTGCAACTCCCGACCGACGATCTTATCTGCGTTTCGAGCCGCATAAAAGATCGGAGGTTGGCTGGATAACGCATCAGGTCTAGGTCCCTCTTCAAGCTTGGGGTTCCGTGTGAATCCAGGATGTTCTCTGTCGAATGGATACGGGGTAGTCAGGGGTGAGAAAGTTGGTAAGTGGATGTACGGCTCATGGATGTCTGATGGATGGTTCCTGCTTCCCTCAGGATTCAGGATTTCAATCAAGGGCTCGGATTCTCTTTCAGGGGGAAGCCCCATTCCCACGGGCAGTCAATTCTGCTCGACTGGGAAAAGGGGGATTTTTGAGAAATCCGGGAAGACATTCTTGGAAGCGCTGAAATAAGTAGTAACATGAATCGGAGGGTTTCGGCTGAGCCACAGCGCGGTCACCTTGGCTGTTCAGTTTCCGAAGATGTCTCGACAGCTACCTTCAATCTTGACGTCGATGATTACGAGAGCAATGATGGAAGAGATCGTCAACCCCGGCTAGCATTTTCACACCTGGGGCAGAAAATCTTGAAGATTGAGGAAGCAAGGGCTCGTCTCTGAGCATCTCTCTGAAGACGGCGATACAACTCGGAGTAGAGATGAATCGTTTCTAGGTTGGGGTTCATCAGTTTCGGGGTCGAGAAGCGGAACCAGATCGAAACCTTGCTCCATAATTGAATGAGGTGGTCGGGAGAGTCTCATTCAGGCTGATTGAAAAGCTTCCGACCAAGGAGGGCCTGGACTTTTTCAAGGGAATGCCGATATGTACCCGATTGGTGTTGGTGTTGCGAATTAACTGTCGAACGGGAAGTATTGCATTCTTTCACAGCATTCGGCCATGGAGTCCCAAAGCAGATACAGCGATTTTCCTGAAGACAGCCATTCGGCTCCCTTTTTCGAGGAAACCGCTGACGTTCCTCGAAATCCGCGTAGGATTTCTGTCTCTTTCAGACAGAGATCATCATCATCATCAGTCATATTCATTATTCCTCTGACGGATGAAGCCGCTAGGGTCCGATTCCTGAACATGTCACTGGATTGCGAACCTCAGGGGCTTGCGCTCAATGTATGAGCTGAGCCGTTCCCGAAGAGCAACGCTCCGCGAATCAACGGAGAGCGCGAATGTCGTGCGGGCGTCGCGGCGGGAGTTTGATTAACCGTCGGAACCCATCCGTCGCTCTGGGAGCTGCAGTATTTCAAGACAGATAGTGTCAGGCTGCAGTGTTCCACGACAGATAGAGCGTAGAGTACTGAGGTAGAGGAAACTGTAGTGCTGTTCTGCCGAGCAACCATCAGCGGAACGCCGTCGCATAATCACTCAACATGTGTTCTGGTAAGAATCCCTGGTCCACACGAGCAGTCTTCGAGCTCTGAGACAGTGTCTTACGAGCCGAGCGATGTTAGGATAGAGACTCCATCGTTAGGAGGAAAGCCCGAAGTTCCTTGACATGGCCGATGTGGGGTCTGGCTTCTCTTACGCCGCGGAGTTCCGAAGCTTCTTATCGAGGTCCCTATTACAGGTTGTTTAGGTTGCTGCACGGCATTGAAGCCGCGATACAAGAGATTAGTTGACTCCATCTATCCGATAAATCCTGAGGTGAGTTATCAGAAAACTTCGCGAGCCGTCTGTTCCGACGAACCGTGTCCAATTGAGATGAATAATCCTGAAAGCAGAGCCTCAAGGCAACATCGAGATGGAATACAGCTCTTCTTGTTTCCCTCAGGATGGACTCGTTAAAGCCTCCATGGAGAAGCTTACGTTTTATGCCGTGTCGTCTCCGGAGAAACTGGACAGAATCGGCGAATACATCGCTCATAGAGTTCAGCGAGACATCAGTCGCGGAAGAGACAAATACGTCGAAATTTCCATGGAAGCCATGGATTCATTGTTAGTCGCCTGTCATTCGCAGAGTCTAAACTTGTTTGTGGAATCGTTTCTGAAGATCGTGCAACATCTCCTCGAATGTCAAAACCCCGAGTTGCAATTATTAGCTACTCGAAGTTTTGTGAAGTTTGCCAATATCGAAGAAGACACTCCATCTTATCATAGAGGTTATGATTTTTTCGTCTGCAAGTTCGCCTCACTGGCGCATGATACGAACAGCGATCCTCAGATGATGACCAGGTGAGGGAATTGCGCGGTGAGCGATCGCACCGCATCCAAAATGACTTATATTCGAGTTGACTTTCTCTATCAGTGATTCATGCCGATTGGTCTGATCGTATAATTGTGTTGTGTCGCAGGTTGCGCATGGCTGGCGTCGAAGGTCTTCAGGGAGTGGTTCGGAAGACCGTCAACGATGAGCTCCAGGTCAACATTTGGGAAGATTCCCATATGGGGAAGATAGTCCCGTCGCTATTATTCAACATGGCCGAGAAGCTACCGTCGTCGGCGGACTCCGACGAGCAAGGCCCGACAAGCAGACTTCTGCGTCAAGGTAATCTTTCTTGGGTAATCCGATGCGACGGCTTCAAGAATGAACTCATGATCTTCCCCAAGCCCAAGGATGAAACTGGATGGACGGTCGCGGTCCGCGACAACAAAAAAACGCTTCTTCAAGGAGAGCGGATTTACGAGAGCGTGACCTACTTAGCTGGGTATCCATGCGGGCCCCTGGTTCGGGCGAATCTGGTCCTCCGGCAGTCGACTGGAGGATCAATCGATTGATCGAATTAACTAGGCTCGTGTTTTTCTTTTTTTTTGTCAATGTCACTGTTCCAATGAACTCTTGTTGTGAACAGGCGGAATCGACCTGTCTTCTCCGAGTGAGTACTTCAGAATACCTTCGCGCTCTTGTCATGTCTTTCTTCACTTCCATCACGATCTCATGTGTTCATCACTGACGCAATCTTACTCTTCTCCTCGCCTAGCTGGCTATTATTCTCCTATGGAACTTTATTTATCGCTGCGTTCAATCACCTCATAGCTTTGTGCGAAATTGTCACCGGAGCTTCATTCCTTGTGATTTCTTCCCCATCCCTCTTATGAGAGGTTTGCCTATACGTTTGATACATCCTCACGGGATTTTTGGGGAGACCTGAATTAATTCCCGGGGGTCCAGAATTGCGCTCTGGACAGTCCCCAACACACTTCTCGGGCTTTTTCGGTAGAACTTCGCGGGATCGTCCCGCAACCCTGATTTCCCACTTCCGCTAAAGCTCGAGATAATAGAAGCTTCGCTTGAAGCAGCCGGATCGAAGGAAATCCATAGGATCAAGCGATCGCAAGCCCCAAGTCGCGCGCGCATGTTTACACTTCTGCACAATGGACCTCCTCGGCTGCGATCAGCACCGGTCCGCTGACTCAGTCACTTCGAGCTCACTCTTATCCGCAAAAGCCTTTAGTGAAAAATTTTAGCGAGGACTTCTCGGCCTGTGTCGTGCTCGATGTTCTCTACACCGATAAAATAATCAGTGTTTCCTCACCAGATGCGTAATGTCGATGGTTTCATGACCACACTTGTAGTGGCTAGAGCATTTGGAGGAGCGTGGGAAAATAATACGATACTAATTTATCCTCTCGTTCATCAGGTGGGCTCGATGGTTTGGGCCAGGACGAATCGAAGCAGAGCCCCGAATCGTTGGCTATAAATTGCTTTCGCGAGATCATGTCTCGGGCCACCTACGGACACATCAATTCTGTCATAAAGCCTGTGCTGATCCATCTGGATAAACATCAATTATGGTCAGTGAATGACAATACTTTCGCCATCCACGTCTTCAAGATCATCATGTATTCGATACAGGTGAGTTCGACTCGGACCGTAGGGGAGAGCTTACTGTGTGCATCGAAAAGACGATAATTTGCTGTTCACTTTGAACCTTAAACTTGAAGCAAACGCCGAATCCTCATTGTTCGTCAAATAGAGGGATTCGAGTCGTCGGTGACGCTTTCTCCGGATTCCAGGCTCAGTATTCCTACACGGTGATCCAGCTACTAATGGCTCACTTGGACAACAAGTATTCATCTCAGAGTCGGACTTTCCATCTTGAAAGAACGGGCATCGTGAAAGTTCTCTACCATATCGTGAACATCGCCGCCTCAGAGAGCGTCGGACCTTCAGTATTGGATATATTTCACTCGCTACTCAACCATCTCAAAAGGTCTGACATTCCTCCACGGAACGTTCGACGGGGAGGAAATTCTCGATCACCTACATATCTCGGGAGCCTTACTGATCATTGAACTTCGTTCACAGATCGATCCAACTGGATAAAGAAGACGAGGAATCAAGCTTCCAAGAAGCGGTCATCGAGACGCTCGGCGAGTTCGCCAACAACTTACCAGACTATCAAAAAACCGAGATCATGTTATTCATACTCTCCAAAATTCCACACATATCCGAAGGAGATGTGGTCAGCTCCACGGAGGGAGAGCTGCAGAAAACCATGCTGAAATCACTGCTGACCGTGGCAACTAAATATTCCACCGTGAACCTCAACCAAGCGCTCCCGCTTGGCTTCCTTCAGTCGATCCTGCGGATGTCCTTGGCTCCCGACCCCAACGTTCGAATTCTTGTTCAAAAAATTCTGCAAACACTTCTCGACCGTCATGACAACCTGCCAAAGCTGGAGCTTCTGGGCTTCGTACCTTGCACCGGCGACCCCCTCCCGAGTCTCTCGGTCGAGAAGTGCTCCCGGCAAGATTCGGTGTTTATGAAGAAGTACGGCCCCGAAATATTGTATCACATGTACAGCAACGTTCTACTCAAATCGAACACATACGACAATTTCGTATCAGTATACATCACGATGGCCCTCATCGTTATCGAACTGGGCTCAGAAGAGCTTTTGACCGAGGTTTTGCGCATTATGTTCGCACTCCAAGTGAGTTCCTTCGACCTAGAGAACATCGATCGCATCAGACATTTGCACTTGATCAATCAATTAATTATTTCATTCATTCATCAATTCATTCACCCGACCTATTCATGATTTTCCTTCCAGGATGAAATGCAGAGGGAACCAACGGAGAACTCGGTGTACGTCCATCGGTTCATTGCATCTTACATTTACCTGGCTTCGAGCCTCACATCGATACCGGCCATGCTGACGCATGTTAACGAAGTGATCACGGCGCGGAAGGAAGAATGTCCATGGCTCCTCCCGGGACCCGCACCATCATCGCATCCGAACTCGCCCGGGAGCCTCCAACTCAACGAAAAATACCTCTTCAGCATGAAAGCCATCGGTGAGTCGGGACGGAAGTATCCGGGATTGCCTCGCTCAGGAACAGGATCGCTCGAGCATCATTTCGACAGCTGTTGCATCACTTGACTTCTTATCTTTCCAACAGGAGAAGCGTTGCATTCATCCGGCCACGATACTTCCAAACTCTTCCAACCGTACTCCGCTCCGGTGGCACTGACTTCCTCGGTCGTAGCTCAAAGGACTTTGATCACAAAATCTCCTACGGCGACCACGTCGACGGACGGACCCAAAATGACTGCCGAAAGCCTGAACAGTGCCTCGTTCGACTTGGGCTCTGTCGATTCGTCACCGGGGACGGCGAAGAAGTTCGTCGACTTGGAGGAAGTCAGTGTAAAAGCTTTCAAATCGATGCTCGAAAGGACGACCTCGACTTCCGAGCAGCGTCGAGCTGAAGTCGTGAACGTTTTCAAGACGACACCCTTCAAACAACTTTGTCAAGAAGTTCAAAGCAATTGTTCCTTCCAAGGCGCTCTGAACGAGATCTTGGCCTTGGTCCCATTAGATGCTGCTGACGTTCCCGCGGAGGTGGATGAAAATCTTGCACTGCCTACATTCCAGGGGCATTTCCCTGAACTTTTCGTTTACTGATCATGATCATTGGCGTGGTATGGGACAACTCCTGTGAAATCAGGATGTGTCTCGTTGTTTGTGTTTTTTAACCCTCGGGAGCAGAGTTCCGGTTCCGGAAGAAGCCGAGGTCAAGCTTCGAACTCGAGGGCTCCTATCAAATATGAAACGTACAGAGTGTAATAAACTGTTAATTGAGTTCGTCGAGTAAACCGTTCCCTCTCGTAATCTTCGAAGCATGGGGTGGATCAATCATCAGTGGTGCACAAAATCAATTTTTCACATTTCCGTTTCTTCTCCTCTCATTTCAAAAGCGGACTCCCTCGATACTCGGTGGTTTCCTGTGGAGTGGGGATTCAGGGACGGGAAAGTATCCGGGGCATTATATGTTTTTCGTATAAGCGATTCCGGAATTCCGTATACGGTACTTTCGAACACCTCCGCAGGGGCATCCGGAGTCGGTCTCTTCATTCGGAGGCAAGCCTGAGAGACCTGGAGGCTGGAAATCGGTGCTCTATAGCCATATCGGTACACCTCAGCGCAGGCCTTGCCCTGGGCTCCACGTTTCTTGCCCTGAGCGTAGGAGCGCTGCTCACTGCGCATGCTAAGTGTGACGCCCTCGAGTCGGCTGCGCGATTCCGCTCGGGAACACCGAATTTCCCCTTTTCCCTACCGGAGAGAAAATGGCCTATCCTCTGAGTTGCTCAATGCTCTCGCCTCGGAATTCGCAGCGAGATCGGAGCTCTCTCTCCGCGTGCAGACCAATAGTTTGTCGTTCAGCATCATTCGTGAACATGAACGACCGGTACCTCGACGATCGCTGGTCGTCCTCTTCGTGCCTCAACGAGCCTCCCCGGTCCCGTGCGCAAGGACCATGCCGCCTGGAATGCCCTCGGGCTCGACATCGCTACGATCCGCTCGGACGTCGATCATCTCCGCGATTGGCACAGGTTGCTCGATGCATCTCAACTCCCTTCGCGACCCGGGGATCTGACAACCTACGCCGTGGGCGTTCGACGATAGAATGGGGGGACCACCTCTGCTCGCCCACCGATCCATCGCTCCTCTCGTTACTCGATTGGCAAATAAGTCCCAATTTCTAACGGGGGGCTGGAGAATGCGAGCGCAGCTTCGAATCGACGATTTGGCCTGCAGAGCCCTTGTTCCGGGGGAGTCCCGCGAAAGGGGATCCCCCTCGAAAGATTCTAGAACACCGGGAGCAGATCTGGATCCCAGATCCCAACTTTCTGGGATGTGGTATCGATATAGCTTGAGTAATTCAGTGTGAGCGCAAAGGACGCGGGAGGAGACGATCACAGCGTGAACTCCGAGCCGAAAAAATCGAATGCCTAGTCGTGTGATGCGATTCCCGAGAACTTCGCGCGGTGATGATTTATTTTCTGTCCGCGGTGCCTGATGCTCCCGCAGGGTTCTCGCCGTGTGCGTGCGACAAGAACAACAAAATATCCGTCTTCTCATCTTCCTGGTTTTGGAATCGATGCTCTGTCAGATTGCCAAGAGCCATTCGGTCAGCGCGAAATTTTCCATCAAACTCGCTCGAAAGAATCAGGATTCTAGAATTCCGGCTCGGGGATCTTCCTAAGCAAGGGAAGCTCTCTCGAAACTTTGGCAAACCGAATGTTAGTACCGGGCCCCTATTCGCGCGCGGGTGCAAAATGGGCGAATCGTCCTGTTTGCGCACAGGTCCGAATCCGGCGCAGATCCGCTTCGCGCGTAGATTCGGTTTACGCGCGCCGCCAGTCTAGCGGGAAATCACTACAGGGCCTAGTCTAATACCATTATAACGAATCCCTTTTCCCACACTTTTGACTGCGGTGTGACCCTGATTCTGGGAGTTGTTCGGCTCCGAACTTCACTGAGAGAAGAACTTCGTGCCCTCTCGGCTCATTCTACGCTTCGTCTCCTAAGAGTTTGTCAGTCGCCGTCGTCGAGCGATCGAGGCGGGCAGAGGAGCGGGACAAAGCAGTGGCGGCTGGGCCCCGTCTTTTTAGTAAAGCGCGGAACTGTCAGCCTTTTCAGATCGAGGGAGAGTGCGACCGTGGCTGCCGGTCTGTTGAAGACAACATCGTCATCGGCACGACTGAAAAAGATTTGTCGAAAATGAGTGTTTCTTACGAATCGTTGAAGCAAATTGCTGTCCGTGTCCCCGGACCGTCGGATCGCGTCTACAAAGATGAGTGCGCGTATTCGTTCACAACGCCGGAATCCGAAGACGGCTTATATGTGTCACTATACTCTTTTTACGGACTTTCGAAGCAGCTCGCCTTGGAATACGTTGCGAAGACCAATTATAAGGTGAGTCTCTTCTCATGAATCCGCTCTTTTAGCAACCCCTGTCGAGAATCGCGATCAGTACCCTTCGCCTTGGACGAACTGAGCTCCCTCGCCGGAGAGCATGGCGAAGTTTCCGAATGAGCAAGGGGAACGTTGCCGGTATCCGGACTTTGAGAAGCCGCCTGTTTTATTCGAGCCCGTCCGTTTCCAGGCGTTTCTCCACATAAAGCGCGTGAAAGTCCGAACCGAGAGTCAGAAGGAAGAACATGTCCCCCCAACCCGTTTGGCCATAGGTCTAGAGGGCGGCTTCCAAGACGCCGCGAAACATCAATTCAAAACCGAAGAGCAAATCGTCATCCTTCCGGAGGGGGCTGTATTTAACCTCGACGACCCTAAGCTGCCCGAGGGGCTCCGAAAAAGCGCAGAGGGCGTTGTCAGCGCGGAAAGTGCCTTCAAAGTTGCGGAGCTCGAATCGATCGTCGGCACTTGGGACGGAGAAGCTAGACAGGTTTGTACCGAATGTCTTTTCAACTTCAACGCCGGCGAAGGGATGGAAAGCCCCATGGGACGATACTTTGGAATATCGAAATTAATCGGCGTCGACTTTATTGAGAAAACTGAATTCTGAATGTGTTCTTTCAGCCCAGCAAGTTGTCGGCTGATTTGTTGCAACTCGACAACGGTGTGAAAATTCCTCCGTCGGGATGGAAGTGCTCTCGCTGCGAATTGACGGATAATCTGTGGTTGAATCTCACGGACGGCGCTATCAACTGCGGTCGCTCGTTCTTCACCGGAACGGGGGGGAACAATCACGCAATTCAACACTACAATGAAACGCACTTCCCTCTAGTCGTCAAGTTGGGCACAATCACTCACAAAGGCGCCGACGTGTACTCGTACGACGAGGACGACATGGTCATCGATACTCACCTGCAGAAACACTTGGCGCACTTCGGCATCGACATGGCTGCCATGCAGAAGACCGAGAAGTCGATGGCCGAGCTCGAACTCGACATGAACCAAAGAATCGGGGAATGGGCCACTTGCACCGAAGAAGGTTGTAAACTCGAGCCGCTATTCGGTCCCGGCTACACCGGCCTGGTGAATCTGGGCAACTCTTGCTACATGAACGCTGTGATGCAAATGCTCCTGACGGTACCTCATTTCGTGAGGAGGTACTTCGAGAAGTATCAGGGATACATTTTCAGAAGCGACGCCGATCCCAACGTTGATCTCAGAACGCAAATGGCCAAGCTTGCCATGGGAGTTCTCTCAGGCCAATACTCGAAAAAACCCGCGACCGACGCGGAATGCGCAGCGGTGCGTCCGCAGGCCTTCAAGAATGTGGTGGGCCGGAACCACCCGGAATTCAGCTCGAAACGACAGCAGGACGCGGAAGAATTTTTCTGCTATCTACTCGATCTCCTAGACAAAGAAGACAAGGAGCACCCCGCGAGCAGACCCTTCAGTTTCGAAGTCGAGGAACGAATCCAGTGTTCCAAGACGAAGATGGTGGCCTACAAGAAGCGCGAGGAGCGCGTGCTGCGTCTCGTTGTCCCGATGGACAGCGCGACGAATAAGCAGGAGGTCGAAGACTACCAAGTGAAGAAAAAAGCGGCGGAGCTCAACAAGGAGCGCTTGGATCCGAAGGGGAACGTTCTGGCCAAAATTCCAATGTCGGCTTGTATTTCGGCTTTCATGGCCACCGAGCACGTACCGGATTGTTTCAGCGCCGCCGCGAACGAAAAAGTGACTATCGAGAAAACGGTTCGTTTCCTCACGTTCCCGGAATATCTGCTCGTGCAGGTGAAGAAATTCACGCTAGCCCCAGATTGGACCCCGCTGAAGCTGGATATATCCTTGGACGTACCCGACGAGCTCGACTTGCGGGCATTCCGAGCCAAGGGAGGCCTGCAACCCGGAGAGGAATCGATGCCGGGCGAACAGGAGACGCCGAGCGTTCAAATCGATGAGGGAGTCGTCAATCAGCTGGTCGAAATGGGCTTCTCGAGAGAAGGCTGCAGGAAAGCGGTGTTCTTCACGAAGAACTCTGGTCTCGAACAAGCCATGCAATGGGTCATGGACCACATGGGAGACCCGGATTTCAACGATCGCCTCGTGATACCGGGTCAGGCGGACGTGTCGCCCATCGACGACGCTAATATCGAAATGGTCATGGGTGAGTCCTTGGATCAGATTGCCGTCGATTCATTCATGTATCCTTGCGTAGTATGGGCGTCTCCAGATCAATCCTCGTCTGCAGCGTCACCTTCGAAACTCGATTCTTGTCGATCCATCCTTTTCCCCCGACTTTGGAATTTCGGACGTCAATGACCGATTTTTTTTTCCTTCCAGCAATGGGTTTCCCCCGGTCCAAAGCTTCCCGAGCCCTGCGGGCGACTCAAAACAACGTTGAGCGAGCCATCGAGTGGATTTTCTCGAACGCCGACCAACAGAACGAGTCGTCATCGTCCGATGAGGCCGACGAGGGCTCCAGTTCGAGCGCCGCGAACCGCCAGGGCCTGTATCGACTAACCGCGTTCATCACCCACATGGGGTCGAGCACGTCTTCGGGACACTACGTGTGTCATCTGAGGAAGGAAGGCCGATGGGTAATTTGTAATGATGAGAAAGTCGCCCTGTCCGAGAAGCCCCCGAAAGATCTTGCCTATCTATACCTTTATCAGTGTATCGAATAATTCTCCTGTCACCCGTCGTGAATCTTTCTAAATGATGAGGGTAATAATTATAGGCTTCGAAGTTGCAAAGGGAATAATTCAGAGTTTCGATCAATAAACGTTTTATTATATACACACGACGAACTCTTTCATGTACATACACTTGAAATGCTCAGACTCATTGACCGGCCAGCAGCTGGTCTTCCGACGAGTCGATGTTCAAAAGCTCTTCGACAACTTTCCGGGTATTATTGTTCCCTTTAGAGCATTTGAATGCGAGCTGCACGGTTTTCGGAACTCGAGTGACCCTTTCTCCGTGCACGTTGTTCGGGGTAATAACGACTAGTCGTATCGGTTGCTCGGGAGGTTTTGATTCGACGCTGATTTGGGAGCTGGTATTCGGGTCCGCAGCTACCGACTCACCTTCGGCTGTTCGGAGGAAGAATCATGAGAAATTCTGTGCGCGCAATGGATTTTCACCAAAATGACGAGTCCGTTCCTACCTTGTTCGGTGCCGCTTTCTGGATTCTCCAGACCGTTGTGCTGTGGATGCTGTGACACCATATGCCGTTTGAGATCCTGTACCTTACGATACGAGAAAGAGCACAATCCGCAAACAATTCCCCTGTAAGGAATCAGATGAATTCTGTCATCGAAGCAATTGTCTACAGGTCCCGAGAGGGGGAGAGGAAGGGGAAATCGAGTCCCTGTCCAGAGATCAGTGCCCCCAGCAGCACATCGTTTCCGGAGGTGTCAGGCATCTGGACCCACCTATTTTCTTGTGAGTTTTCTTGCGAGACATCGTCTCCGCTCTGGTTGTGGTCCGTGGTTCGATGGTGCCAGAGATCGGAATTCGTTTTGAACTCTTGGTGACAGATCCGACATTCGAATGCCTTCCTGAGCGCGTCGTGTCTGTTCGGATGGTCACCATGATGCGTTTTCACATGGCGCCGTAATGAAGACTTCAGCGCAAACCGTGCTGTGCAACAACAAGGACACGGGTACGGTTTGTCAGACTTTGAAAAGAAGGGGGAAGAGCTTGAGATTTCGTCCCGACGGAAACTCACCGACGACTGCCTCATTTTCCCAGTCAGTGTCAAAATAGAAAGTCGTGACTCACAGCTGGGGAGTTGATAACGACGTGAACATCTTGAACTTGAACATTCTTCACGGGAATCTGCCCCGTGGGACTGGCTTTGATCACAACGAGTTTAACACTGCCGTCACCTTGTTCAGCCATTCCGACGAAGAAAAAACCAACAACTACCAAGAACTCCGTCGCAAAGCTCCTGGCGAGCACCGATCAAGAGTGATCGCGCGGAAGAGAGTGCATCACGCTCTAGCAGATATGATCGGTCGCACTCATGAAATTGTAAACAGAGACTCAATGTTCCGAGTTCCGAGCCGATCATCGGTCGCACTCATTACTCTCTTCGTGAAATGAGCCTCAATGTTTACAATGATGGATGCATTCCTCGTCGTCTTCCACGAGTGGGCGGTCGAAGAGGCGACGGAGTCCGCCCAGTCTGCGCGCTCTGTTGGCCAAAAAAGTTCTTCGTCGCCTGGCAGCTCGGCATCGGACCGCAAACGCCGCGAAACGTTGCGTACCGAGTGATTCTGCCACGACCGCGGACGCTATAGGTCCAAACGGTCGCTCTCTCCCGGCAGTACTCAGAGAAAGCCGTTGGAGATCAGACCTAGCAGCTTGCATGAAAAAACGTTGTGACCCTTTCAGCCTCGTCCAGGGAGAAATCGTGTTGTCGATTAGACGCGGTTGCCAACAGGCCCAGAACCAGAACGGGAGAACTCGAGAACGGGTCGAGACCTCTGCAATCCGCGTTGGCATCCGCGAACCTCTGCTGGAGTAATCCTCGGACCCCTTGACGGCGGCAAGGAATCAGGACGCGGTACGGAAGGAGACAGGAGAGACTCACAACGTCGGAAAAGAAAAGAAGACGATCCGCTTGGAACGGAGGTCCAGACGACAGGGGTCTCGGAGTTCTTCGACGATCGTGAACTGACAAGAGGCTTGCTGACGGTACCGGAACGAGTAGCTGTACAACTTTGTGGACGAGAGTTCCCCAGAAGAAATGTGTGCCGTCCTGCCAATCTTCCAGTCCGCTCACGCCTCGTTGTACGGGGCTCGCGCGAAAGTGATTCCGGCTTCACCTCAACGTCGGGTGAACACAGTCCTTGACGGGCCGTACGCAAAAATTCAGAGCGACGGGAATTTCCTCTTTTTTGACGGTGCGATCGAGGGGTTCGGTTCGGCTGAAATGTTTGGTCTGTTGTATGAGTGAACACCGTGTTCCTCGATGGAACTTTCGAAGTCGTGATAATCCTTCCCTCCATTTCCTCGTATCATTCCCCTTCTTCCGCGCGCCGCCTATTACTCGAATAGATGCCCGAAACGATCGCCATTGACCAGTCACCCGTTTGGCCGGCCGGTCGGTCTCTATCCCGGGATTCTCCAGTTGGAGTCACGCAGCACGTCGAATTGATCAAACCTTACGGGCTCACTGAGTGAGTGAGACGACCAAGTAGTCATAGCCACGAACTACTACTGGCGCAGCCGACAGGTTACAAAAACGTAACGACTGATACAGGAAGTTCATCGGCGTGGGAACAAACCATATGAAACCGGTTTATCCACTGCACGGAGTCTCCTCCCAGAGTTTTGTCTTCGTGCATTCGTTCGTGCGCCAACGGCTGCGCAGTTGAAGCGATGAGAGACTCCGAGTCTGACTGCAGCAAAAGCCGATCGACCGGTGGATTCGCTGGAAACTGCGGAATCCTAGGTCGCCGCCGCCTTCATCCTTCATGTGAAAGCCGTGACAAGGGACTCTCCCCTCGATGAAGGAGCGCGTCAACGGTAGCTTGCTCGAAGAACTTCCCATCCGAGCCGATTTCCACACAGCTGCCCCAGACCCCGCGCCGTTCCTATTTCAAGAGCTGAGCATGATGAAAGTTCTCGGAGTACACTTTCCGCAGAATCAACCTTTCGCTCACCAAGACTTCAGAGACTCCTAGAAAATGCATGCCGAAGTCCTTTATGTCGATCAAACTAGCGAAAGATCCCATGTGTCCCGCAGATCGATCGTTTTCCGCGACAGGTTCGAGGACACGACGTTTGGGGGAAAAATCAAACCGGCTTCACTCGTCTACTCGCTTACTTTCTTTTGTGCATCGGCAATTCAATCTCGTCTTGGGATTCCGGCTCTTTCAGTCAGACTGATCTTCTCTGATAAGATATCTGAACAAGATCGAATATCACGGCTCGATGGGCTTGGTGTAGGCCAGAGGCTGCCTTCATCGAGATCGACTGCCGGAGTTCGAAATCCAGGAACGACCCCACTCGAGTCGGAAATCGCAGAATGAGTGTTAAAAGGCCAGATACCGTTCTCGGCATCGGAGCAAAGACGAATGGCTGACTTGACCCAGACGGAAAAGTTCAGCATTACACAGAGTAGATACGTCGGTCGCGCGCTGCGCGCCGCACGCGGTAATTGCCGACCCCCGGTCGGTACTCGGCAACGTGCGCGTCAGAGACCAATTGTTCCACCGACAGTTCCCTGCGTGGATAGTACTGTGCCTGGCAATGTTCCATTTTCTATGAGTGACAGAAATTCCATCCGAGCTTCGATATGCCTGGCCGCGTGTCGGTCAAAGTGGTGGCGGCCAGGAACCTCCCGGTAATGGATAGAGCTAGTGAAGCTTGTGATGCTTTCACCGAGGTGAGAAATCATATCCTTCTCTAATCTTGGGCGAAAACATTGTCCATTCGCCGGTTGACTACCGACAGGAGGACAGCCACCCGGAGCTGATCGGACCCATCGACGTAGTGGGCACGTGACGGCGTTTTCTGAAGAGGAATATTTTCTCCGAGAAGCTCAAAAATCCCACGAACACTATCACCGTCGTGCTTACTGCTCACAGAGCGTTTTCGCGGAAGGGGGCCCGGCTCACTCCATGTGTTCTTCCAGGTTCGCTTCGGCCAGATTTGCTACAAAACAGAAATTTACCGCAAATCACTCCACCCGCAGTGGAACTCGGAGTGGTTCCGGTTCGAGGTACCGATCATATTCTCGTGCACTGAGAGCCAGGGGCTAGATGCCTGTCTATCGAATCTAGCCCCCTGCATTGTGTGAACAACTGCCCTATAGCGCGCCCTCAATTCTTACAGGTCGACGATGAGGCGCTGCAGGACGAAAAACTGCAGCTCCGAGTGATGGATTACGACACCTACTCCGCGAACGACGCAATCGGCAAGGTCTACATTGATTTGAATTATCTACTCAGAGAGGCGAATTGCGCTATGCAGGGTTGGCTCCCCATCTACGATACACTCCATGGAATACGTGGTGAAATCAATGTCACTGTAAAGGTGAGATCCGCACGGGAATATTCGATCAGTCACACACTTTCTCGATTCCTTTCGATGGAGGTGTATGGGATACTCGCGGAGCCACCTCGAGGAGGAAAAGACCGAGATCAAGGTCCAGTCCATCCACAGGTTGATCTCATTTCGGATGCCAATAAATACAGAGTTTCCTCGGTGGGCATGAGGTTCTTTTATTCTGATCGCGTCCCTGACGGTTACCGTCTGGTTTCCGTTCTGGGCTTCACCGAGGAGCTCATAGCAGGCGATGATCCCGAGTTCCACTGGATGGATCGGATTCGAACGCCGAGAGCCTCAAATGAAACCAGGCAGGCACTCTTTGCCCGATTCGCCGGTAAGCAGTCACATCCGGAAAATTTGGGACGCTCGAGAATCGATAGCTCGGCTGATTGTTTCGAATTGTTTAAATCACCGACCTCCCCGGGGCCCCATCCCTTTGGAATACGATAAGCTGACGACCTTTCTCATTCCTTGCAGGTCAGCTCCAACGTCACGTCGGTTTGAAGGCTCTAGAGCTCGGTGGCAACGCGGTACTTGGGTATCAGCAGTATTTCGATATCGAAGGCGACAGCGGTATCGTCGTGCGGGGCATCGGTACGGCGGTCAAGCTGGAAGCAGACACCGATGGGCTCTCGAGCCCTCGCAATCAGGGCCCAAGGACCACGATGTCGGAGGACATGGCGGAATACCCCTTTATCACCATGAAACAGGTCCCGCCGGGCCTAATCGAAAGCGTGGGGGGCGTGGTTTCGGCGAGGTCCGTGAAACTGTTGGACGAGTCCGAAGCCGAAACGAGAGACTCCTGGTGGACGGAGCTCCGGAAGGAGATCCGATCACACGCGAAATCTCTCGGATGCAATATTGTCGTCGGATATTCGGAGACGACGACTATCTACGAGGAAGTTCTCCTGTTGTCAGCCAGCGGAACCGCCGCGTTATTATCTAGTCCTGGCCACGCGAGTCAAACGGATTGTACGTTGTGCCACGCTCCGTATCGAGCGTCTTCAACACCATTCAAAACACAGCTGAGCAGCTGTGAACTTTGCACGGTGGGAAAAGTGCCTGACGTGCTGTTCATGACGATCGAGCCACCGGCCGCGCTGGGCCAGGTCGAGCGACCGAGTCTCATCCAAGCGCGCGTCTGCAAGCCCAAGAAAGATTTGAAGGGGGAAGCGAGTGCTCGCGAAATCAGTGATAATCTACCATTTCTAGAATATGAGCTCCACAAGCAGATGCTCGCCAATATAAAAAAACGTGGTATGAACGCCATTATCGGACTCAACGTTCAAGTGGCGATTGGAGAGCATTTCCTCTTGGGAGTTGCGGTGAGTCGCTTCGCCTCTGAACTCGGCCGATCCGCTCTCAATCAGCAACGATAACGCTCCATCTTCCCTCAGATCGGTACCGCTTGCGTAATTCCGGCTCTCCCGCAGCCTGGGAGCACGGCGCCTCCCGTCGTCTCAGGGTCCTTATCGGAAAGTGAAGATGACGACATTCTCAGCTCATCTTTCAAACAAAGGTTGTGCATCATGAATCTCGACCACTCGGACAATCTCTTACACGAGTCACGCGACGCGTGTATTATTCGGCAACCGCCGGAAGGCTTCTTCTTGGCGTCGACCGAAACTCCTCTCGCCGTGGGACCGCCTTCGAGCTGCTCCCAACTGATTATGCAAGCATTTCGGGTAAGCTTGGGATGGATAAATATTGTGTTTTCCCGAGAGCCGGGTATCCCGAATTTCACAGAGGAAGCTTGAGCTCAGCCCTGGCTACGCCAGCCCGGATCCGAGCGCTCACAGAATTTTCGAACCGCAGGTACGACTCACGCAGGCGTTCCAACCTGCACTCGTGGGAGCTTGCACGCCACCGTCGCAGATGCCGTTTGGCTACGATATGAGCCGTCATCTCGATCGGATCGTCCAGAGCTTGTTCGTACGTTTGAGGAAATACCGCCCGTGTCAGATATTCGGTCTGCAGATCAAGACAATGTTCCCGCAGGCGGATGAGATGCAAGTCACTGTTTTGGGGTAAGTGGCTGAACGGAATAGAAAAAGTTCACGAATTCGTCGAATGTTTTCGTTCAGCGTCGAATGCGAGCTCCTCTCTCCCTCGCAGGACAGTGGTGCATGGCGACAACAGTGGTGGTCGTCATGTGGGAGTGGATGTGTCGACTCTGTCCTCGTTGCCGGGAAGGGAAATCGAATCGTATTTGGGCAACTTGAATTTCTTCTTGATCCGAGAGACGACTAATCTCACCCAGAGCTTGAATGCTTTCGTTGCTACGTTCCTCGATGAAATCTTAGCAATCGCTCGGTGTCATGTGTCGGCTCTGGGTGGCAACGGTCTCCTCTCCTTCAAGACCGATCACCAGCTTCTGCTGCACGGAACTCATAAACATCAGGTACCGTATTTTCTCCGGAATAAATTCAAAGCATCGAGTCCCGATGAAGATCGTAAGCAATCCTTCCTCCTTCCAGGGACAATGTCTAGTCAGCGTACGGGGTGATGCCGTCCTCCTACGAAGCGTCAAAACTCAGCCTAGCAATAATATAACTAAAGTATTCGATGGTTCTGCATTTCCGGTGTGAGACTCGATATGAGATATCATCCGGCTCATGACTTGGGAAAGAAATCTCAGATATCACCCCCGTCCACGCTCCTAAGCACAATTGTTCGATCCGCGATCGACAATAATTTTGTTTTGTTCTTCCAACATTTCCACGCGTATGAATCCATTTCCCGCAGTGCTCCCTTGATTTCACTCGCGTGCCCTTTTCTTGACGGGGAATGACAGGTGATGATGTACTATCGGGAACGACGTTGTATACCATGACTGCTCGTCAGCGCCCGAACACTCCCAATACTGTTCATAACTTTGACTTTTACCCCTAAACATATCTACCAACTTTACAATGTTAACTGTTCTAGAACGAAGCCAAATATATGAATATATATATACCTCTGAAAATATACATATGGATATGAGTGGAAACAACTACAGATAAAGTCTCTCCGTCTTGGAATAAGTCTCGCAGTGCCATCATTTGCATAATCCGCGTCAGAGGGGGAATTGGATGATGTGAATGATCATATCGCAAGGGTAGTTTAGCTCATACCGTCGAGGCGCGTCCAGTTTTTGCGTCGCCTACCATCCGGATAACTCTTGTTCGACTAGTCAGCGCGCGAAGTTTTTCCGTGCCGATTCCAGTGCTCGATTTGAGTAAGAAGGAGATTAGAATATTACAGTAAAAGCACGTTACTACGAACACGAAGGGACCGACGAAATTGGTTCGTTGTACCGAGTTTTCGCTGTAACGAATGCCGCTCAACACTATCCCTATGGCGAGCTGGCCAAAGCAGGAGAAATTCCTCGTTCGTTATACCGAGAAATTCGTTTTAATGGGGGTCGTTATAACGAGATTTTACTGTACTCCAATTCGCCATCGCGTCGGGGAGGAGGGAGGAGTCTCCGTTCAGGACTGGTGCGATGGCCACAGTCAGGATTTGGTACCGGAATTCTTTCTGGAATCGTGCTGGGGCCCTGGGGAACGGGAAACTCCAAAGACACCGCATATCCCGGCGAGCGGGCTTCTCGATCCTGCAGTGCGTCAACCAAACACACTCAGCCGTGAGATTCCGACGACCCCAGAGCGTATACTCAGCATGGAGTCTCGGAGTATGCATCGCATGCAGCGGAATCCCGGACTAATGTAAGCATTTTCGGCTAGAAAGATTCTTCTTCGTTGTGATTGCTCGGCCGGTCAAATGTTCTCGGGAGCGAGCTTCTATCCAACTTAGGATACGTCTGGAAATGAGTCTGAGCAGACTCAAATGAGTTGGCGATTCCAGTTGGGCTCCACACATGTTCTCGCTCCGAAACTTGACTCCAACCCAACTTTCGAGGGAAGGGAGTTGAAGTCAGCTGTCTGGCTAACGGGTATTCGGATTGTGGACGGTCTCTCATTCTCTGGCAGATTCGTATGAACCGCTCAGACCTTGAGGGTGAATCTCATGCGTCGGCAACTCTCTGGAGGTTCCATCCCATTCCAGTGTCAATACCCGCGACACAGGCTCCCGTGAAGCGGTTGGAGGGACGCAAGGGTTACCGTCGTGAAATACCTCCCGGAAAAACCAATGGCAGACCTCCTCGAGTGCAATCTCTGAATATCCCGAGACACAGCGTCAATAATCGAATCCAATAGGTAGCTGATGGTATTTCTTTATTGTAGCTGGGGGAAAGCAGCCGAGCTCTTCAGACACCTGACGATAAAGCGGCGCGCGTTGCTGACTATCCATCGGCAGCTAGGTCAACTGAGCCGATGAAGATGAGTCATTGTCGGTGACATATTTGACAGTGAATGACGGACATTCCCAAGATTGCAGGGGTTCCGGTGGTTGAAGCACGATTCCACTCCGAAGGCGGCATTCAAGGAGCGATCTCCTCTACAGAGATGTTCAGCTGAGCAGGTCGACATACGATGCGGACAACTTCGACGACAGGTTCCTCAGTAGCGACAACCTCGAATTTCGGCAATATCTTGCATAGAGTCAACTTCATTGTCAGTAGAGCGAACCTCATGCCAAGGCAGTTCCTGGGACCGTCACCGAAAGGCTATGGAGTTGGAAGAAGACTCTGATGTAATATGTTAGCGGGAGATAGAAGACTCATATGTATGTCCGAGTGAGTTGTCCCCCACCCCCGAGTCGAAGCTGGGGGAATCACAATTTCTGGGCCGGAGGGAGCATTTCGCGTTTTTCCGTTTCTCGAGAGGGCGACTGTCCGAGGGCGAATATCAGAGGGTGGAAATTGAAGAAAGAGAGAGGCTCTACACCAGAAGCTCGATTGGGACCGCTGTGACCGTCCTCCCGAGGGGTGTGATAGAAAAAATTCAATCTCACCTGATACGTGAAGGCATCATAATTCTTCTTGAGGAAACGCTCGGGATCGAAACGATTCGGATCTTCCCAGAAGTCCTCGTCGGAGTGCATCACTTTCGTCGGGAAAAGGATGCTGAGCCCTGCCGGGATCTTCAAGCCGTTGATCTCCGTGTCCTGGGATGCCACGCGATGAATCATACTGGCGAAATTTTGTTTTTCTTGGTTCAGCTCAATTTTTTTTTCCACTCTCCGCTTGATTAACTCGATGATACTAAAGCTTATCTAGATTACGCTACTTGGTGAGCGGAGGGTAGAGACGTAGAGATTCTCGGATGACGGCGTCGAGATACGGTAAGGACATCACCGTGTCGTAACTAAGCGGTTTGCCTCGGGTAGCATCGTTGATCTCTCGGCGTAGTCGTCGTTGAATGTCCGGATGTGAGCCGAGACACTTGAAGGTGAAAGCCGTTGCGGTGCCCGTGGTTTCGTAGCCTGCAGCGAACATCACGATAGCACTCGCCACGACTTCTTCATTCGTCAGTCGGGCCGAAATTGTTTTACCGAATGACGCTTTCTGATCTTCTGCGGCGTCCGTCGCTTTCAGTGGAGCGCCGTCAGAGCTGATCTCTGAAGGAGACGATTGTTGTGAGGTCCTCATTCGGGATCGAAAGGGACTACCTATCGACTAGAAGCGCTGAGGGAACTTACGTTGATGGTCCAGGAGAGATTGCATCAAGTCTTTCCGTGGAGGTGACTTTCGGCGAGCTTTGACTATGTTCTCGACCTCATCGATCATGTCGTTGAGCACATGAGGTACAATCCTCAGATACTGTAGCAGATAGAGAATCGAACTGAGGAAGTTGTTGACCGAGGTGAAACTGTTACAAATCAGATCCAAGAGACCATGCGGATCCGCTTCGAAAACTTTCAGAGTAGCTCTCAGGAAAACGGAGTCTTCTTCGGGGTTCTCCTGCAGTTTCGTCTCGATCCCGAAAATTATGCCGCAGATGTTGTCGATGGAGAGCCGTTTGATTAGAGGATACACGTCGAATTGCTTCCCGGACGCCCTCTTCCTGAGGTTGCTCTCGAACTCGTCGACGCACTTCTCGATCATACTGATCATGTTCTTCATTTTCGCGACGGAGAACGCAGGACTAAGCAGCAGGCGGGTGCGTTTCCAGTGCTCATCTTTCTCCAAGGCCACCACGTGCTGAACGATCGGATGCGCTCTTTCGAGAGCGAACTGCTCCGCGCGATTAACGAAATTAGAAAACTGGCGGACCAGAACCTGCTTCGCCATGACAGGGTCGGACGTTATCAAAAATGGCTTATCGCCCCAGAACACACCGAACGTTTTCCCGTATTGGGCTTTCCATCGTTCCTCCCAGAGAACGTGGTTTTCGCGCAGCTCTCGATAGTGACCCCAGAGAAAATGAGGTTGAGGACCTGGAATGCCCATCCGTTTGAAATACTGGAACCGTATCCATCGCTGCTGCAAAAACTTGACGATCAGAGCCACAAACACGAAAAACAACGCCGCCGTGAACATGATTCCACAGCAGGTCCGGAGTGCGTCCGGGAAGAGGTGAGACTGTCGATGAGCTTTCGCGGTCTAAAATCGGTTTCCGCTCGAACGGCCTCGAGTCCCGGTCGTTCTCAAGCACAAAAATGAATGGGAACTTTCCTCTCGCCTAATTGCTCAGTTCGACATTGGCTGGGAGGACGAGTCCGAGGATTTTGGGGATGATGTATCGGCGTAAAATCGGCAATAATTGAGCCCTTGATTTGGAAATGTGTCCTGATTTGGTTGGACTTGTCAGTCTGGAGCTTTTCCCTAAATCTATAGATGACAGAAAGTCGGGATCGGCCAAGAGACGATTCAAATGATCGCCTATCGTCATTAGCCAGCTTGGAGAAAGAGGAAAACCACATCGCTTGATTCAGGTCCAATTGAATCAGGAAGCCGAGGAACCGGAAAATATATCCGGACCTTCTGGCTTGAAGCATAGGGATGAAATAGTCTGCACTCCCAATCTCTTACTGCCGATGCTATGCCCCAATCGTTGAATCTGCTTCAGATAAAATTGCGGCTGGGAGAAGGAGCTCCTGAATACAAGCCTCTCGAAGAAAAAAAATTCCCGTAAGCTGACGTATCAAATCGGTCTGCCTCTAGCTGTCAGCGCCGAGCTCTCATGCTGACCCACTGGACTCTCGGTCATTCCAGACGCATATATATGTATGCATACATGTATGTATAGCCCCGAAGCCCGGGCCGAATTGCGGCTCGATTCAAGAGTGTAGCGAGTCGTGTCGATCCTCTGACCCTTGGGAGCCTCGTTTAGTTTGCTCACGTATCCGAAAACAGACGGTCCCACCAAACCATCAGGAATTCTCGAAGGGTGGCGCGCGTGAGAGAAGATTGTGAAGTAGCGTGCAAGTAGGGACGCTCGACGGCCTTCGCGAAATCAAAACCGTTGTTTGTAAGTATCACTTGGTCAGTTCTAATTCAGACGCATGGAATAAATTGAGGAGCCGCCCGAGCGTGATCGCGGTGCCTGACAAAGATCATCGGCACCCTTCTCTTGTCCACTTGACAGATCTCCCATCTCCGACTCGAACCCGGAGACACTCCCTCCCATCGTTAAACGGGGAGGAGAATCCCAATCGAATGGCAATTAATGTTTCTTGGACGAATCCTCCGATACACGTCGGACGGTGGGTCAGATAGAGGAATTGGCTGGGAGCCAGACGTCGGAGAATTGCATCCGAGGAATCGAAATTCCGATTCCCGAAGATGGCCATCGTAGTAATGAGGGTGTTTTCCCCGAAACTCGAGACATGCAGAGATATTCGATTCGGGACCTTGAAACATGAGATTTTACTCAGGTAGATAGCACATGATAGAATATTACCGTGCCGAATCCTAGCCGATCCTGCTCAGGACCTCCCTTGACCCGAGGTACTTTCGGGACATCGACATCGCGAACACTGAGGAACCGAAGAGAACCATCCCCCGCGGCCCTCCGAACACGCTGCGCGACGTTCCCTCATTCTTCGGTTCCTGCTTTGCTCCCGTATGGCTTCAGCTGCTAAAGACAAATCCAGAGAGGAACGAATGCGACAGGAAAAATAGGTTGTTTTTCGCGACAGAGATGACGAGCGAAGGAATCCAATAATCCACGAGACGCATCGATCCCCTACCCCCAATTATTATCTGCCGAACATCATGTATAAGTCTATTGTTCCTTATAATATTCAGGTACGCAGGGCAACACGAAGAGACCTCGTTGGGGGAGACATCGAGGTCTCAGTTTTCTCATTTGTCTACGACGATCCCCCTCCCGGAGAGGCTCAAGAATGCGGCGGCATCTAGCTGCAAAGGAACCCTGCTCTCTTCCCCGTACAAGCTTTGTAAAGCTCACTTACTCCGTAATGAATGGTTCTCCCGTTGATTCGCGCAACAGCCGCAGGATGCAGGAGTCCCAACCGCGGGTCGTTAGACGAAATAACCCACCGGAAACAGGCCTCTATTCCGAAAGCCACGAAGCCGTACGGAACCTCCGTCCGCAGTCAGGACTAGGGATCGTAATTCAGGGCTGAGCTGGCACTGGCTCTCTTCAAAGGTCGTGTCGAAGCTAATGTTCAGGGAGACGGGCTCATGGGGAGGAACATGCTGATGGTTCGTATTTCAGCGATATGGCTGCAAGCGGTAACTTCGGCTCCAGCTTCAGGTGTGCGATGGATTCAGCTCTCTGATCCAATTAATTCGATGCCGCTGAGACGACAAGAACCGAATCCACGCGGCGACCAGAAGAGTTTCTCGCGGCAACTCTTTCTGGATCGAGCGTCTGACCGACTGATTGCCCACCTCTTTCGGCCGAAGTTATGATCGGAATTACGTGAATGGCAGCCGACTCCCTTGTTGCTCGGTTTCTCGCTCATCCAGTCACTCCTCTGCATTAGTGTGAGCCCAGAAACAGCGGCCCTGTCAATACGGCGACAGCGAAAACGGCGAAATCAGTTCGTTCGAGGAATAATTGGGTCCTCCTTTTCGTAGAGAGAATCAAAACTTCGGTCAGGCCAGAAGATCCGAGGAAGCCCTCGATCGGACTCCGATGCCGTCCGGAGTGAAGACGCCGTGCGGGAGGAAGGGGATAGCTCCATCATCTACGGAACTCTCTCCAGAAGAAAATTTCATCCGCGTGAATTTGTTCAATGAGGACATTTGAGATGAAACTTGATTGCTTGAGCTGCTCATGGGACAGCGTGCTATTCCAGAAAATCATGGGACACACCCACTCGTGGGCGGCGGAACATCAATCACAGCGAATGTCATCGAGAAAAAAATCCAAAGCTCAGCGGAGAAGGCAGGGGACAGATTCCAACATATCGAGATGCTTGCTCCAGGGTCCGAGCGGCGGAGCAGATTGCGGCTCTAAAGACGATCGTAGTATGCTGGAACTCTCGGCGAGCAGTCAGTGGGAGGTGGGAAACCTGGAGGATCGGCTCCGCGTTTCCGAAGGCCAGACAGGACTTCGGAAAAGAAGGAAGGCCAGCTCTGCAAGCCCTCCGACCGGGAGGGCTATTCGAGCGATCTGATGAGGGATCGGGCCGTCATTTCGGAAGCCGTCCTCTTCCCCCGTCGACTGTGCGTTCAACCGATCCATGTCATCAAACCTAGTGGATGGCAGACTCCAAGGCCGAGAGCGAATTTTCCAGATAATTTACCTGAGCTTCTGATACTGGACGGTAATCGACGGCCACTACCACGATGCCGGAAGCAGGCGTATAAGGTTCGCGATCAACAAACCGGAGCAGATCAGGCAATTCCCTCAATCAGCAGCGGAAAGCAAGGCTTCGGATTCGAGAGCTGGAACAGACTTTGGATACACCCTGTACAAGTCCTCCTCAGCTCGAGGAGTGAGCCGGGAAAGCCGCGGATCCCGGGTAGTGACGAACCAGAGGAATCTCCGACGCGGCCGGACAACGCTGCGGTCGATTTCCGAGTCCTCCATCGCCATGCGAGACTCTTGCGACTCGATATAAATCATCAGGTACCCCTGCTGAGACCGATCAGATGAGCCCCTCTCTTTCCACATGTCAATCGCAGGAGTGTCCCCCATTCTCGGGGCGGCAAACAAGCCGCGTCGGTGCGGAAATCCGTGATCGACCCGAGTACCCGAGCGGGATGAGGGTATCGGCGCTCAGGGAGCAAAGTGATTTCCGTCGATCGCTTGACCCTTTTTGTTCCCAAGAAGGTCCCTCATGGAGATCATGGGATTGCGCTACCGAGTTGCCACAGCGAGGGGGTCGGAGTGCGGCCCCCACTGGAGATTCGCGCGATTTCGACCGGATCCGCCTGAATTCACGGCTCCATCACCACCGGGATTCGGACCCCCCGGTAGCACATTGAGCGGTAGGCTCGACAGTGATCGAATTATCGGGGCTATACCAGGATAGGAAGATTCCCTCAGGCTGCCAAATGGATCCTGATTGCGGAGCCGAGACGAGGTCCTAGATGAAGCTTTCGGTGTCGACCCTCTCCCAAACCAAACGAGAGCTTCCCTTTCCTTTTCCAGCTCCTCACAAGGGAGCCCGTACTCATTCTCGGAGAGTCCGCTCCTCCAGCAATGGATTCAGCGACGATGCGCCGACTTTTCACCCACATAGCGCTCACAGCTCTGGCTTTCGTGGTGTCCGTGCCTCTAGGTTCAGAAGCCATAGACTGCTTCACATGCACTTCACTGAACAACTCGAATCCAGGATGTCACGACCCGTTCCACCCAACAGACGCCTTGTATACTCATTATTGTATGGTGCCAAAGGAGGGACACACGGGGCGTTTTCCCGCTCAATATTGCGTAAAACTGAACGGAATCGCAGGTGAGGAACATTAGACTTCTCGTCATCCAGCCAAGAGAATCAGACAACACCTGTGCAGCTTCCCTGTGTGTTCATGCGACGTAGTACGTCGGCGATCGTGGATCGACTACATTCGATTGTGACACGAGGCTCAGAGGGGAAAGAGTCTTCCCAGATTCCTTCCAATCGTAGAATCAGAAAAAGATTTCCGCCGAAGTTCTTGCCTCCCATGAACCTCAGCTGACGATCCACTAAAATGAGCATCCCTTATTCCCATGGTTTTCAAGTGAGCACCGGCGTACAACTGACGATCAGGGTATGCTCGTTGGAAAGCATGGACAACTCGTGCGGCATGTTTCGGTATCAGAACGAGCTAATGAAGGTGAGTCACTCCGCTCAGAAGTGTTTACCGTCGAAGGCGATTGTGGGAATCAATCAAAGTAGAGGATTCAGTCGCGAAGCAGTATGCCGTGCGAGGGCGGTGTTCCGAATGCGCGGAAACTTGACTTGCAGATCATTTTTCTCTACAGGGATGCATAACTACATGTAATGAGAACGGCTGCAACGTGTCGGAGAGGAACGAGTCGTCCTTGATGATTCTGGTCGCATTCATAAGTCTGACGATGTTTGCGATACGATGATAGCGGCTCGAGATAGCGGGATGAATCTCGGCCCGAGTATTCAGTTCCCGCTATCGTCTGAATCCTTCCGTTCCCCATCATTGAGCGTGAGTCAATAGTGGGTATCCTGAGATCGCCTCTAAATACATGTATATACACGTAGACTCGCGCACGTTTTCTGACACTGAGGTAGCTACGGATCTGCGAATCGATGGGCATGGCTGCTCATTGAATGCGGTTAGTTCCCTTGGTATCGACCCACCGAATTGTGGAAGGGAGGAGAACCGCGTGGATCCTGTTCTCGTGAAGACCCGTTCGAGCCTCGGAACGATTAAGGCGAACGTGTCTTGACGGATGTTTTTGTGATAGTTCGATTTCGATCAGTGACCCACGTTAAATGAGGTGCCCAGTCCCAGAAGGAGCGCCCGACGGAAGTTTCCGTCTGGCGCCAAAGCCTGGTACAATACGGCGGACGTCGGCAGACTCCGTCGGGCTGTTTTGTGCCGGGGTGACTTCCATGGGGATTTTCGATTGACGACGGAGGCATGGAGTGAATCCGTCATCTAATGCTTCAAAAACCTTTCAGATATCGAACATCTGACTCCTTCATGAAGTTGTTGAGCCGCCATGATCTGCATTTATGATACTCTTGCTGTTTATATGGACATGTCGGCGAGTTTTTCTAATAAAAGAGAAGGAAACGACCTGCTGAGCCATTGGGTGTTCAAGTTTCCCACAGGAATTACCGAAATGTAATGGCGGAAGTTCAGAAAGAAAAATCCAGAGAACAGTCTTCAATGAGTTCAGTCTCACGGAAACGTCAGCATCCGAACATGGCTATCCGAGGCAGTCGATCGGAATCACATATCACGTTAGAAGCGCATCGGAACTACATTCCCGCAAAGGAATCACGGAGATAAATGTGCGTCGATGTTACGACTTTCTGAAAACTCCTCGAGCTGTCGTGCACGCAGCTCGCTCCACGCGGCTTCGAGGAACTTGGGATCAGATAGGAGGTCAATGGCGGTTCTCGCACACGCTTTCGCTACCTCGAGCATCGTTTCCTCGGCAGCAGCGGTCTTCGTAACGTCAGTGAAATTCTTGTGATGTATGTTCGCCAATCCATCAATGCAAGGGAAGACCTGGAAGATCACAGCTGGATCGTAATCGTCCACCAATTAATCATCCCTTGCCGTCGATCGAACGAAAACGAGCATTTGCTTTTACGATAAAAACCAGCACTGACCTGAACAAAAGGTATGATTTGGGAAACGTTCCCGGCATCGCTGGAACCCAGAAGCTGGGTCTCCCTCTTTTTTCCTTCTCGTACGAGTTCCATGTCTTCTTCAAAATTGGTACAGTATTCCCCGATTCGAGCTGTCAACGTGTGGTTCGGCCACTGCTCGAGGTACTCTTTCGTGTGGGAATACTCGAACTCACAGCGCGTACACTGAGCTGCGGTCTCGCAGCAGACCACGATTTTCTCTCGCAGGGGCCTCATGTCGACTCCTTTTACAGATCGATAGGAAATTTGTAGACGAGTTTCTTTGTTCGATTCCATCGGCTTCATCACAACGCCGAGCCGCCAAGAGGAGGGCATCGTTTTTCGCAGAAGAGCCAAGTGCCCGTAAGCGACTACGGCAGCGTCCATCGAGCTTTGACGGGCAACCGTTTTCCGGTTCAGATCTCGACTGACGTGCACCGAACGCTCACAGTCAACGTCGCTGCGAAATATTCCCTCGAACCTCGCGCTGCAGAGAGTCTTTCCATTCAAAGCTCTGTCCCCTCCCCCGAACGGGTGGATCATGAACCCAGCGTCGATGTCATCGAAGGCACTGATCATTAGGATCTTTCCCCCGCCGCCCTCTTCGGCCGGGGTTCCGATGACGACAATTGTGCCGTCGATCTGGTCAGATGTTTCGAGCACACGTTTCACCATGAAGGCCATGGCAAGTCCGCACTCGGCGATGAGGTTGTGGCCACAGGCATGTCCGATCTCTGGCAGAGCGTCGTACTCGCAGACGAAGGCGATTCTCGGCGTTGCGGAACCGCGGCTGCTCCACTCGGCTTTGAATCCTGTCTGTAGGATATGGTGGCGGGTAACTCGGAAGCCGCCATCTTCCAAGACGTCACAGAGGAGATCGTGCGCGTTGTGCTCTTCAAAACACACTTCCGGGTTCGCCCAAATCCGAAGTGAAGTCTGTCTCAAAATGCTGCGTTTAGCTGCGAGTTCTGTCTCGATAAGTTCCAAGAACTCTGCGCTCGCCATTGGTGGTGCGATGCGGGCCGCCAGCCTCCGCCTCTTGTTGATGAACTGCGGTGCCGAACGAACGCTGTCAATACCGGACGGGGAGCATCGCCGCTGATGGCTCGTAAAGATAGCGCCGGCTCCTTTCACGGAGCGAGAGTGAAATAGATTAATTTCTCTCTCGGTTTCAGCTCCTATAGAAAGAGTTCCGGAAGAGCTATCAACCAGCGTGATTCCGACCGGTCTATGCTTGCTGAATTGCGGGACTGAAGTTCCGGACCCGCGAACTTGACACGACTCGTGTGTTCGCACGAAGCTGATTGATACATGAAGACAAGTTGTGCTGATCGACCACTCGCGTCGCATAATAATCATTGTCAGTATCAGGTGGGAGCTGTGGGAAAAATTGGAAGGTCTCTCAGCGACGCCGAACAGTGAGCAAAGAAGAGTGGAGCGGAGTGAAGGCCCAGCTAGGCGACGGATGGACGGTTGCGGGTATAAAAGGCAGTACAGGAACAACTCTCCAAGATTCACGCAGCCTATCTCGCCTTGACTCATCATGCGTTTCGTTGTAACTTTCGCGTTTTCCACTGTTGCCTTCATCATCCTTACCGTTGCCGGGGAGGAGCAGATCTGCGGTTCCAACCAATTCATCAAATGGGTATGTATGACTTCGATTGACGGCCGGTGCATCATACGTGACCCCGTTCTCGTGGAACTCCACTTTTTGACTCCCGTGCTCGAAGAAATCCAGAGCGCCTCATGACTCTGGGGCGAGAGGGGGGGTAGGGGAACGGAATTGGTCCTCGGAAAGACCGACGAAGGGGGTCATGGCTCGATCGAGCTTCGAAATCGTATATCATTTCTTATTCCAGGAAAATGAGTGCACCGCTTTGTGCCACAAATCTGTGGAGATCGGAATGACCATCAAGGAGGTTCCCGTGCACGAGGTGGTCGTCGGAAAAACCTGTGGCGAAAAAGGCCACTGCCAGCTGGGCTCCGTTCGAACCGGTCTCGGAGAGTGTTCCGTGTAACTAGCAGAATGAATGGACGGATATTACGTGTCGTACGTCGTATCGGATGGCATAATTGCGAGTTTCTCGCGAGTCGAGACTCGACTCCTTTCGCGTGATGGTCAATGGCTCGGATGTCCACTTCTATGTATGTTCTTCGTTTGAAAATGCCAGGAGTTTCGGATCATCAAGAGTAAAAATGTTTATTAACATCTTTTTTCGTTTTCGTCTGTTGCCTCTCTCCATGCGCATATTTTCTTCGTCATCTTTTTCATCTGTAGACAGCAGTCGTGGGCGCAGCGGCACGTCACGTTCACGTGAGGGTGATCGCGACACGCTGCAGGCGCCCGCTTCCTCACCGCCATCAATGTGGTTAATGTTTACAAAGAGGAGGGGACAAGGCTCTCCTTGCTGCTGCTGTTCTTCTTTCTCTCCATTGAAAAGATAAAAGTCGGTGTTCGTAAGAGAGCCCCGCAGATGACTCGCTCACTGTACAATCGTATCGCTTCTGCTGTTTTCTCGCACCTTCGTTCTATCCATCGACACATTCTTCTAGGTTGCTTATCGTCTGCTTAACATATACTCGTCGTTGAAATGGTCGTAATGATTGATCAAGCAATCGGTGGTGGTCTTCGCTGCTGGCGTCGTCGTAGCTGTTGCTGTTGTTGTTGTTGTTCTCATCATCGGGGAGTATAAATCTCGGGGAGGACAAGTTGCTGGCTGCACGTTCATCTATTTTCACTTTCATTACTCGCAAGGGACACAATGGGATGAGCTAAGCGTTGGGATTGCGTATTCTTTAATATCGGGATAGTATCTCCTTCGGTTGTCTGGCTGTCCGTTGAAAATTTTCATCGGTTGACACATCGTGGGCACGTCGGCTTAGAGCGTCCAAAAGACCCCGCGCGGCTCGCTACGCGCTTCGACTGAGAACGACTCGCTGGGCGTTCGCGTAGACCCAACACGTCCTTTCGGGGCGATTCCCGGCCCAGTCGGTTTCAAGTCGGCCCATCGCTCCAAGGACGTCAGAGTCCGCCTCTTGGGGCCTCCCGCGCACCCAAAGCCGACTGTACTCGAAAGTGTACAAATCACAAGCGGGGTGAAGAGGGTGGAGAGGTAGGCGGTGGATGGCTAAGGAATACGTTTGCTCGAGGTTCAGGTTTCTCTGTCTGACGCCACTGCCTTGACGCTCGACGGGACCTTTCTCCTCTGGGTGATGTGCTGGGGAATGACGGGAAATCGAGAGTCGGCGGAGCCTCCTCCGATCGAAATGTCATGCGGTCGGGCTAGCGGCGGGTTTTTCTAGTTTACTTGAACTGGAAAAATTTCGAGTTGATTCCGTAGTAGGGATCCATCGGCTTGTTGGAGGAGGATTCGAAGTTACCGAACACCTCTCCCTTATCCATGTTCAAGGTGCCTGCTCCGCAACCGAAACCGACTCCCTTAGGTCCGAACTTCCTGCTGTAGCAGATCTTGCACCACAGCATACCGTTGTGCTCCGTGGCATTGGTGGAGTCGAGCCTCTTGCGGCACAATCCTGGAAGCACCGAAAAATCAGTTTCGTTCTCTCGTCAGCCGATGGACGAACTTATTCCTTCGGAGCTTATTCCTCGCTGTTCCTCGATTTTGACCCGAGAACCGGAATATCCTATTTTTTCCCTCTCGGCTCATTCCGGGGAAGTCGCGTGGCTTACCGCAGGTGTAGCAGATTTTGTGCCACTTAGCACCTCCGGCGAGCATCTCCTCCGCAGCGAACACCTGGTGTCCGCATTTGGGGCAGCGGGCGGCCTCCTGAGCCTGGAAAGGCATCTTCAATTTCTATGGCACGGATTGCTGCTGAAACAAAACGAAACCGGTGAGCTGAACCACCTAGAGCACCTCGGGAGGGTCGCTGGCCAAAGCACAAAAGATCGTTTTGCAGATTATAAGAGCGCCGAGCCCTCACTCCTTTAGTTGGGTAGGGGAAGCTGCCCACGGCTCGCGTGCTCGCCGACCCATAGAGTGTTGTCTTTGAGCACAGACATTCAGGTCACCATTTGTCCCGCATCGACAAAGAGCGAACGCAGGAAGCACGCGAAGAGGCATCTATCGAGAAACTGTCTCGGCGAAATCGTATCGAAACGAAATAGGGGAAATGTGCGACCGATGTCCTAGAAAATTCCTTCCGAGCGGAGCCCATGTTTCCTCCGACCTAGCGGTCTTCATGGAGACCAAATCGGAGACAAAACTCCCGAAGTGCAGGTGCATGAGCACGACGAGAGTTTCGGGGCTGAAGACACCCTCCGGGCCGAAAAATCTCTTCTCCCAAGTGACGGGAGATTCTCCCTTGTGTATGGAGTTCAGGCAGGAATCCGCCGTGATGTATTTGACGACGACAAACTTTTCGTGCTACGGAACGACCTCCCGTAGATCACGGTTCTCGGTGTCGCGTCAAATGTTGGACGGAATCCGGCTCCAGCCCCTGAGGTAGCAGGATTTCGCAGCATGGAATCAGAGAGAGAGAGAGAGAGAAGTTCAAAGCGGGGGTTAGTCGGTTTGGTAATCCAGAAGCGCAATCCCAATGGGAGAACATCTTTTCACAGCACACCAGCGTGTCTCCTGGGTTCGAGCAAGGTAACAAAGCCAGAAAACTCTTCCATTCGGAGAACGATTCATTGCAAGGGTATTTCACTGACCACACACCGCAGAGGATCGAGTTCACTCGAAAGCTTCGGTCGAACTGGAAAAACCGCCATGCGTCTGCAGGGTAAATGGTTGTCGCCACCCACACCACAGGAGAGAGGATTCCCTCACCCGGAGAAGCTTATTTGGAAATAGCCCGCCACCTCCCAGCCGAGCGGCCTGTCTGGAGAGGATGCCGGGACGGCCGCCAGAACTACCAACACTCATCCTAACACTCACCGAATCACACACTCACATAGTCATCTATGTATGTAGAAGAAGCGGCAGCAGCAGCAGCAGCCGCCGCTCAGAACAAGAGAACAACATGAGCACCGCCCTCAACTGACCTCAGGCACACTACTTTCAGACACCGCAGCCAGCCAACCAGCCAGCCACATAGCGCACAGATTGCCCTGGAAGGCTACATAGCCGCGGCTTTAGAGACAGCAGCGGCAGCGGCGACGACGGTGGCGGCGGCGGTCACGACTCCGAGCAACCCTGCCGAATAGTTAGAGCGGATCGCGAACAATAAACGAAGTCATTGATTTCTTGTTCCGTAGGGAGGAGGGAAGTCCTCGACATCAATCCCATTCTCCCGATCACCGCCAAACAGAGATTGAATCGAGGAGGTGGTTCCGCGCTTTTCGTCTCTCCGAGATGACGCGGCGGTGCCCATTTTGTGGGAACTTTCGGTTTTCTTGGGGAGGGAAAGGCCTATTTGAAACTTCGTCAGTCCGATATCTAGCCATTTATTTTTACAGGGATAAGTATCGATGGGTGCGTTTTACTCCCGAGATTTCAGGAAATCGCCTTAAGAGTTCAAATTATTGATTGATGGGTCTCGGAACAGACAGCTTCGACAGCTCGGAACTTGATTCCTCTTGGAGAGTCGGGCGGATTCATTCCAGATTTCCCATGGAGACCAATTTATCGAACTTGAGTGGGCTGGAGCGGGATTCGAACGTCCTGCGTCAAGTTTTTCTTAAATGCGAAGCTACGGGTTTCTAATCATCACCTCCCAAAGAAACGAAGACAAACAGACCGGGATCTCGTGGCTCCGCGACCTTCACGCTGATAGAGCCCACCGTGAGAGCGGCTCTGAGTTTGGAGATTATGCCGACTGTAGAAACTTTCACTGTATTCGTGAAAGCATAGCTGCAGAAGGCCGAGGGTAAATTCTCCCGATGTCTCGCCCGGCTGAATTCCGCTGATCATCACAGCGGGCAGTGGAGTCTCGACCACGTCGGAAGCGGCAAGTCGATCCAAAAACTGGAGTCCCAACAATCGCCTCGACGCTTTACGAACGAGCGCGCTAAGATCTCCATCTCTCTCTAGAGTTCCTGAATTCATCGCGTTTCGGAGCCGGTTCGAGTTGAGAGCGTCCGCATACAATGTCTGCTTGAAACGAAATCTGACAGTGGCGGCTGTGTTGCGAGCGAATCACTTCTCTAGCAAATTGAGGAGGTCATCTCCTTTGACGAAACAACTCCCCGGAAGCAATTGCCGCGGAATTGAGGAGCGCAATGCCAAGACTTCTTGACTGCGTTGGCTTCCAGTGAACCTCGTCTGGATGGAAGATTCCGCTCCCTATCTCGCTTGGACCGTTTCTCCCGCCTCGGAGTTTCTCCAGGAAGGCCCCACAGGGGCGTCTACATCCTCGAATTCCTCATCGCCGTGACACCGGCAAACGCAGAGGAGAAATGCCACCGAGCCAATTAGTTCGCAGCGCAAATGGTCCTCTGATTCTCAGAGGGGAATCGCCGTGCCTGGATTCAATGTTGAATTGTTTCGGCACTTCGACCACCTCACGAGTGCCAGTTTCGCATTCTATTTTTTATGTTTTCGTTTCCTTACCGTGGATTAGACCGAAGTCAGCTCTTAGGCAAGGGCTCCTGTCAATCATCGCACTGCATCCCCGAGCTGCCTACGCGGGAAATCCTGCCGACTATCAAGCCACACTTTGAAAAAGCAAGCGTCTGCATATAGTCCGGATTCGAAGTCCGGACTCTGTGGAATTGGAGATACTCGATCTTCCGAAGTCGAGGATCGCCAACGTCGAATTCTGATGGACTCCCCAATCAACGCACACGCTGTCACAGCTCTCAGCGATCGCAGCTTCGGATGCGTCCGATGTATCATACATATGCACATACAAGGCATGTCACTCCCGATGAGGGAGCTATGTCAACCTACTTATGATTCTGACGATCGGTCTGTCTTCGCTCGAGGTTGCCTCTCATTTCGGACAGGACTGCCATAACTGTAGGCTCAAAAATAACGCTTCTCGCCTGAAGCAACATTGAAGCGACGAGTCGATTCCTGGTTCCTCTGGCTTCAGGCCAGGGACCAAACTTCCGGGTTGGGAGCCGCGAGCTTGGTCGAGCTAATTCGAGCTTAAGATTGTAAATCAGTCGTCTTCCCCCTGGATTCTACTGGCTTCCCTGACCTGGGTGACCTGATGGTGGATGGATTTATCGTGTGACAAGAAAATTCGAAAAACCCTCGAAGCTGTAGGGATCTCAACTGAAGAGGATTCGGCTTGGCGGAACAGATTCGAGATCGATGCTGAAGCTCCATGTGGTAAACTGAGAGCTATTCCCTGATCAATAAATTATGAAGCTTCGGGTTATCTTACTCCAGGGGGAACATTCCCAAGAACTCTCAACAACTACCGTGCAATTTTCATCAGTCCCTGCCATCGACCCTTGGGGCTCCTGAGTCTTCACCGAAGATTCTTGCGCTTCGAAAGGGAAAGAAATTTCTCATACGGTTCGAGTAAATAGATTCCGGTGTATAATGACGTCTCCCGTCTCTGTATTCAGTCATCTAATATTATTTCATGTCCGAACAACCCTGTGAGCGGAGCCTGAGCCCAGCCCGGGCTCGTCGGCGAGCCGTCTCAGTTTCCGGACGACTCCATCCTATTGTTTACGTTCAGTGAATCTATCGAGGACGCCAACAACAGAACCTTTCAAATTCTCCCAGCTCGATCAAGGCGGCGCTCGATTTCAAGAGCAAGGACTAGGACAAAGCAAGGGTTTCGATACTTAACTCGGAGACCAATAACGAGTCTTCCCTGGTACAAAGACTTCATTAGTACTCTTCTCGAAATGTTTACGAGCATGCCCACATTTAGAACAACAAGATGGCTCGTGAACAAAACGACATTGAAACGCCCAATGGCTATTTTGGGCCTTCGGGCGGGAAACCTGTCGCTAAATTTGAGTATTTCAACCGATCGGCCGCGAAGCTTCGAGTTCTGCTGTTCGAGATCCTCGCACGAAGCTCTGGGCACCGGACATGGGTGTGCCATAATAATAATTACAAATAAATATCCGTTCTCCGTCAGCCTCATGATCGTGAAGGCGTCGGAACGCTGGAGAAAAAAAGAGACATCAGCCATGTTGTTCCTTCCAGCTAAGAGCGTATTTTAGTCCCGATGAACAGGGTCTATTGTGTGAACGGACACACCGGAGAGCATCAGAGCTTGAAGGAGGCGGCGACGACTGCGATGGACGACCAGATTGACGGACTGACTAAGAGCCAGTCTTCATCGAGCGCGTGAGTCATCGCGACTCATCAAGGTCTCGAGCGGAACATCATCATCATCCTCTGCATGCCAGAAATCTCGAAGCCATACAAGTCGTAATTGAAACAAGTGTCTGCATTTCATGTATTTTCGACGGTCAGCCGGTCGGCCGGTCGGCAGGCAACGACTACGTGGTACTTACACGGTCCGGCCTTCGAGTCCTCACGTGCGAACGTCGCCAGAACCAGTCGAATTCTTTGGCGAAACGAACGAGGGTGGAACTCTACCCTACGGCGGTTCGAAAAGACAAAAATGGTTCGGAGACCTGAGTGGGACGCCGCCGCTGCCGAGACTGCCGCTATCGCTGCCACTGGCATGCGGAGAGCACCGGTTAGAGCACTGCCTCTAAGCCTGGTTAGAGGGTCCCGGAAGAATTTCCTGAAGACGATTGAGAACGGTACCCAAGACGGATCGATGAATTCTAAATTTCGGGAGCATATCGAGCATACGATGTGGAGTAGATCGGGCGACCAGCAGGCCGACCGACCGACTGACCGACTCGCGGATCTTCAGCCGCGCAAATCCCCTCGAGGGAAGAGCAGACCGCTCCCGGAGGGATAAGCAGCAGTAGATATGACTCACAATTGGTCGCTATCGGCATGTTCTCCCAAGAGAGGAGTCGGCTAACGCTCATTCAAATCTCTTGTATGTTTTTGGAATGTTGAGTCGGCGTGCTGCGATTTCAGAGCCAGCGACAGCGCGGTCCGATCACCGTATGGGTGACTCAACGCATGAGGGCCTCGCGATCGGGCCAGTAGATATCTCTCGAGGCGGAAAAAATGAGCTCGACGGCTTTGTCAAAGGGCAAGAACTTCATTATTGCGCATGAAGAGAGAGTTCCTCTCGAGAAACCCCCAGGTCGAGTTCCGATATCGATGAATGCCTCTGCGAGGTTCATTGCGAGCGAGAGCGAATGCGAAATCAATTATTATTCTTTCTTCTATCGTTCATTAATCACATGGGCGTTTCAAATCTGTAGTCAGACGCTCATTATTTGGTCCTGCACCTTGATGATGGTTTGGTACTAGATATTAATGGTCCACGGAGCCGACCTTTTCAGAGATGGTCTCGGCTGCTTACGAAAAAATGTCGCTTCAGGACTGCCCGGAGGAATCGTTCGAAGAGAACTCAGACGGGTGATCTTCGCGGACAGAAAGCGCATATTCAATAAGGTTGGCAAAAACTCCGTCTGCTTCGATTTCTCATGGCTTGCCTCGTTTTTCCTTCGAATATCCCGCCCGAGAAGAAGGAATTCTCTGTTGCCTGAGGTTGATCTCCCGCTAGGGGAATTATGATATCTGAGCGCGGTTCGATAGATAAGAGACTCAGTCAGTGACTTCTGGCGCAGTCAAGGCCGGACGAGAGTTCACACTCTTGAGTCACACCGTTCCGGGAAAGGCAACTCGAACCTAACATGATGCCGAGCTTCCGATCGCAGCCCAGGTGACCTAAATAGATGACAGACCCTCTTGAAACATATTCTGAGGAGAGTCGAGACGGGGGAGATGAAGCGTCTATAATTTCGACAAATAAATAATCCCTACGACAAACGAAAGAGTATTCTCCGTCTGTCGCTCTCAAAGATGGCAGGCTTGACCGCGAGCACGCGACGGACGTTTTTTACGCGTTTTCCCATGGGAGATTTCGGCTGCGGGTATGCCGAAGTCACGTTCACGCTCATGTCTCCGGAGGTTCCGGATCGGCAAACCAGATCAATCGAGCGTCGGGATAACGCGAGTGTATAGGAGGAATGTCTTCCCCGGAATGAACACCTGGTGGAATCGTCGCTCTTCCAGAACATTCAAGAGGAAGTTTCCTCGAATAAAGCTGAAATCGGATTGATCGACGAACAGCCGATTAACTTCAGCGGGCTTCCAAACATCTGCAGACCCGCACTAAGTTTTCTGTCCCGAGGAATGACCCTCCATCGCGCTCGCCGGCGGCATCGGTCTATGCTTTGAATGAGGCAGCTTGGGACCGGGCTGACTGAGTGAGAGTGGAGTCCCGACGAGTTGTCGCAGGGAAGTGATTTCCAAGCGGAAAGCCGCAAGTAGCTCGACATGAATGATATCCAGCTGCGGAACAAGAGCTGTCACCAAGAAAGATCATAAGGCTCGTTAGAGAGAAATAAATTGGCTGAGGTCAACGAACTCCGAATGAAGCTCGGTCCGCTTCTCAGGGACCGCCTCTCTCCGCCGGCGCGGTCGCTTGCCTACCCGGTGTTTGTCGGTCCTTGCGGACCGTGGCATCACGTAAGTATCCGCCGGCAGATCCGGTACCGCAGCCCGGCAATGAACGATAGCGGTGGTTCCGGGCATGAGCTCTCCGGGTAAATAGATATCGGTAGACTATCCTCAGGGAGGCACGCCCGCTGATGTCCCAATTCTTGGCGTCTTGGACGTGTATTGGATAAGGGGATCAGACACGAATTCGCGAAGGTCCCCCGCGGAGCCAACAATGTCGTTCCGCCGGTGGCCATTCAAGATGACACAAGACTTTTCGGCAAGACGGTACATGAGTCCGACAAAATGAGCCCGAATTCGAGACGAAATGCCGATAGAGAGAAGCATTCAGATCGACGCAGGCCGAGCGTTATGGGAAAGCATTTTTGACGGAAAAGATTACGCGGCGATGGAATCCCCACGGCGCGAGACGAAAGGAGAATGCCGGAACTGTCTCTCAGATCTTCGATTCGTTCCGCGACTCATGAGGCTTGAAGTCGAGCGAACTTCGATCCTGGATCTCGGTCCCCGGTTCCGAGTTCGACCCGGGGAGCTCAGGCTCACGATCAGAGGGAACGGAGTCGCCACCGTCGAAGAACCTACAGACGAGAAAGCAGACAGACAGAGATCACTCTTTTATTTATAGTAGAGATGGTTTTCGAAATGCAGTACATCATCATTGTTCTTCTCCATGAACGTGGTTTAGACAGACAATCGAAAGTTCGTGAGCCACCTGATTGTTATTCGTTTCACATCGCACAGTAGCGTCATCATCAAACGTCAAGACATTGTCAAAACACTTTTCCGATCGAGCTGATTCAGCTCCGATCGGTCGTTTCCTTTCCTCCATGTCAATCACCTCCGCCGATAACAGACGATTGGCGATATGGCATGGTGGACGTACTCAAATATTTATCCTCGATGTTTCCATCGATGGGGGTCGTTGAATATTCCAACAATTCTCGACAGTTCCCCCGACCCTTCTATCCATCGTTCCTAGACTCTGACGATATAAGCCGATCGTGCTGACAATCACTCGCAGCCGCATCGACGTCGTAGGTAAATGGTTACATCATTTATTTTGATTACAGAGATTTTCTAACTTTTCATTCCAGCTGTCTAACATGAACTACACTTAAGGTTGAAGATTGGCTTAACTTTTTAGAACGGCAACATAGTGTCTCCCTGACCGCGCTCAGATTCCATCGCGGGTTCGCGTTCTCCTGTTCCGAGCACGGCATCGGAAGCTAATCAACTTCTAGCTGTAGAGCGGCAGGCAAACGTCTAGGGAGCTGTAATATGAGTTGAGCACCATTTCTGCCGCAAGATGGTTAAGAAGGCCACACCTCTCAACGATCGATCCTGTGACGCGTCACGATTCCGTTCCGGGTCCTGACTTCTGCGTTCGCCAGATCAGAATGCACCAATTACGATGAGCGATGCTTCTAGAGAAGGTACCGGTGTTGAAGCGTGGTTTCGGTGGTTGAATTTTCGTTCCAGGTGGTCGCGTGGTGGTGTCGGTGGTTGTGGTGGAATCGGTGAATTTTTGGCAATTGCTTCCAATGACCTTTGTGTTTGTGAAGCCGTTTCGCAGCCCCAGTGTTTCTCGGGTCTACGAGATCCTTTACGAACATGCTAAGGTAGTATTTGAAGTTGTACTCTCACGGCAATTCACACTGTGCAGTTCTCACTTCTGTTTGTCTGACTTCTGCTCTGAATTGTAATTTCTTCTGTCCATAACCCGAGTACCTTCACTCTGTGCGAAGAGTGATTGAATCTGCTCAAGATGTCGTCGATGGGGTCTTATTGTTAGTCGCTGCCACGTTTCTTCCGAGTTCATTCTGTTGGAAGGGATTCGGGGTCTTTTTGTTGAGCACAGAGTTCAGGTAGGCGGTTAGCTAGAGAATGTCGGTCTCGTATATTTTGTTCCTTGCCAATTGGGGCTGCGAAGGTGAGCTGGTGAGCTTCTGCGCCGGTGGGCACGCTAAAGAGGTGAGAGATCCTGAGGTGTGGCTGGTGCAGATACCAGATGCCTTGTGGAGAATGTTACTTTCTGATCCGGTTTTCTTCAAATCAGGCTTCGGCGGAGACAGCTTCTGTAGCAGCTGTAACCTTGCGTATTGCTCTTGCAGAAGTTTCTGCTTCTTGAGCAATTCCTGATGTCTCTGCTCCAAGAGCTCCTGTCTGTTCTGGGTGCCTTCTTGCGAGTTCACACTCTCTGAGCTTCCAGAGCTGTTCTGCTCGCTGATTTTCCTGGAGTTATCGAGGAAGGGTTTTGATTTAGAGGAAATATTTCCATCCATGCAGGATGAAGGAGGTACTTCATCATTCCTATGATTCGGGATTGGGGAACTTCGCTGCCTACCTGATTGAGGGAGGTTCCGATTGGCATCTGCGGGCAGTTTGCTGGTGCCCGTTTCCTGTTGGACTCTGAACGGGGCTTTTGCTTGTGGTCCTAGGGGGAGGAGGCGGTGGAGTCTTTTTGCCGACATTGCCTGGAGGAGTTGTCGACTTGCTCCTATTGTCTCCGCTAACGCTGACTGCTTCTACCGGGAGCGACCTGTACGGAAAAGAGACAAGGGTTGAGCTTGTTGACACCTGGCTGTGGCTCTCGGAACTGTCGCATCTTCCGGGCCTTCACACCCACTTTTTAGAGGGGGACTCAGCTGAACGCGGGGAGAATGTCTGCAGTTCATCTAGCAAAGCGTCGAGTGCGTTCTCGGACCGGCGTCTCTCGCGATTTGATGAACCATTGCCACTCAATCCGCTTGATCCCTGCAAGTTAGCACAGTGAATGACTTCAGCCGATTCGGAGCGGATGCCACGGGCGGAACGATGTGTTTTTTTTGCTTTCTGGTTTCGCTTGGCTTTTCCTCTCGTTCCCACGGAAGAGACACGAGAGCTACGACCCGGAACGAACCTCGCTCCTCTGTTGGACGAGTGGCGGATGCTCTGCAGACGTAGAGTTATCGTTACCCCCCGACGTGCTCGGAGTGGCCGCCGCCGAGTCGAAACGTGGAATCGGCGCCACCCCATCTCCCAAGTCCATGGGTTCCGGGTCAGCCCAACCCACTGTGGTGAATCCTCCTCTCCATAAACTGCGGCACGGGGAGACAACAAGTTCACAGAGTTGGAAAGAGTAGTCAAAGACAGAGAGAATAGGGAATGATACAGAAAATAGCCACAGGGAGTAGGCGGAAAATAGCCACGAATTTCACCGAGCAGCCAACGAACGAGCCGACCAGCGAACCAACCAACCAACGAACGAACATAGACAGTTTCATTGAAACCTTAGCACTTATCATGACAACCAACTTAGCACCGTCTCCCTCGAATGTGGTAGAGGGTGCACGACCGACCAAGCACATCTACGAGGGCCGCAGGAGAATTGTGTATTTGAACTGTTTATGTGAACTGTTGTTTTTCATTGAATATAATTCGACGAGGGGGAGGGACTTCCTTGGACGGTTAGATGGGTGTGATGATAGAGAGGTTTCGGGGGTAGGATGGAAGTGGACTCTCGGTTGGATTTCGGGCCGGATTATATTCATCGGATCGTTACTGTGGATGATGAGTCGAACTAATGAGTCTCGCGTTCAGGACTCGTGAGAAAACGAGCAATTCCGAAGCAGCCCTTGACATCAATTCCTCGGGGGTAGTTCCGATCGTCCGATGGAGGACGACGGGAACGAGGTTCATGCACTCGTTCGGTCTCCGATATTGACCCCCATCGCCCCAAGGACTGATACGATCTAATCGGTCCATGGGATTTGAAGATTCTGATGACCGACCATCACTATCAATCACTTCCAGCCTGCTGTCGATCATCCCGTAAGACAATCCGAGCGTCTAATTCAATCCGTCCATCGGAAAATGTCCAAGACATACGCCATTAAACCTCATTGGACAGACCGTCCTTTGGATGCATGTCCAAACGATGAGAGCAGTGATTAAATAGTTCAAAAATTAGCTGAGCATCGGAGAAAGTGTTCGGAAGACGTTCAAAAAGAGCCCCTATCAGTTTATAGCTGCTTATCCGCTGATTTGTGGAAAAGATGGGGAAATACTTCCGGGAGACAACCAATGTGCACAATGTGGAGGCAGTTATCATATAGGATGGCAAGAAGGAATTTCATCCACCATGACAGTTCAAAGACAAGGTTTCATAGAAAAAAACGTCATTCATTAGATTTAGATTGAAAAACTTCGGAGGCGGGGTATGACCGACTGAACTTTGCTAGACTCGTGTAATATACTCAGAGAGCGAACAAACCCATAGTGAAACAATGATCAGAAACAGAATGCATGAGAAGGAACTGAGCAGAAATGTGACGTCAGTAACAAAAAAGCTTTGCAAGGCATATTCCGAGATTTCGGATATACTTCGCAGCCAAGATTTGACTGAGGCGAAAATTTGCGACACAAGTATGCGGAAACGCTCCGGGACGTCAAATGGGGTCTGGAGGCTCGGAAAATCCCGAAAAATCTGTGAAGAAATGAAAACGTAATCGCAGATCGAAGATATCAGATTTTCGGAATAAGAGAAATGTTTGGTCCTGGAATACGCTACGCAATGCCAGTCCTCCGCGAAGTCAGAGTCAAGAGAGATTTCCATTCGGGCGGACCAGTCGAATCAGGAGACTCACGCCAAAAAATGGTTCATGTTTGAGAATGAGCCAGACGGAACCGTGAATGGATAATGATTGAAAGTAAAAAAACGGGGAGTATACATACTCTTGACAAAAAATTGAAATAAATGGAAAAAAATGTGTACGATGCGAACGGTCCTCGGACCAAGTGCGACGGAGGCCTCAAAGTTGTCGGTCAGGAGGGTCACAAAAAATTCTTTCGCAAAAACTATCGAGGCTGGCCAGAGAGCAGAACAACGCATCCACTGCTCACGAAGCGATTGCTTCCTCCAACGACGGATGGCTTGAAATTTTTGGGAACTTTCTCGCCGTCATTTACAAAAAGGGACATGAAGATATATCAAAAAATAGCTTATCATACTCGATCTTCTCACGGAAGTTCGAACTCCTCTTCCAGCCGTACTTCTGGGCGTTCTGTGAGGGCAAAAATCGAAAAATGTTAAGAGCAAAAATTCTTCAAACTTAGCAATTGAGCTCCTTTCTCTCACGAGCTGGGTCTCTTTCAGACTCCCAGGAAGCGGCTCGCTGCCAGAATGACGGCGCGGATAGGTAATCGCGACGGACATTCCCCCACACTACGACCCACCAGGTTGAATCAAAAGCTTTATTTCGCCATCAGTAAAATTACTAGGTGCTCTTCCCTTTTCGAGGGGTTCGGGCCAGCATTTCGAGACGACTCTCGCGGAACTCGAATTGCAGCTTCAAGCACGCTCGTTCCCGACCCCCCGCAACCCGGCAGCGTAGGCCGCTTGGACAGGCTGGGTTCCGAGCTCTGAGGTCAGAGACAGCTGACTTCGAGTTTCTTGACGATTTTCCGCTCTTGAAGTGTCTCAAGATCTGTAGAGGATTTTTGCTTCGGATCTGTGCTCTGCGGGGGGAGACTTACTCGGGACTGACTGGCTTGAGTGGGCTCGCCGTCGCTATGGGGTCCGTCGGTTGATACTGACTTCTCGGGTAAAGATGTGTGCCGCTGTTCTTGAACCGATGCCAGTCTGTAGTCGAAGAGAGCGTCATCAATATCCCAGCGGAGCTCCCCGTCCACCTGCACCGAGTCCACGATCGGACGGCTGACATGAGCGTCGAGAGTATTCATACAGAGCCAAGGAGGAACCAACCGTTTAAGTGTAACTAATGTTCCGGTGAGCTTTTTACATCTTCGGAGTGCATTCTCGAGCCGTTCAGGTTCTTCTTTGAGGAATTTCTCTTCGCGGACGACTGTCTCCATTTCGGCCGATATGACCGTTTTCATCGTGTCCTGGAAAAGTCTCCCGTTTAACAACCTCCCAATTCAGATCCGGACCGAAGAGTTCTCATATATTTATTCTCGGATCTCAGGAGCGCCATCCATGATCGGCGGCGCGCGTCATACCTGAAGAGAAGGGAACCGGTTCTTGAGATCTGCAACGGTTTTACTCGCTTTCGAGAGTACCAGTGCCATGCTTTCGACGTTCGACATGTTCACACGACAACGTCTGTTGATGACATTTGAGCGCAGTTCCTCCACTTGAGTTTCCAGTTCACTGAAATTACATGGTCCGAGATTCGTTATCGATGTCGGCGAGGTCTAACGCAGGAATACAGCGACAGTGGGAGAAAAATGCACACGATCCGGAGGCATACTCACGCAAGGTCCTTTTCGAGCCTTGTAGCGTCAGCGTTATAGGAGGTTTCCTCTCTGGAAACTTTTTTCCGATCCTTGCAAGTGCTCTCAGCATCCTCCTTCTCCTGGGCGCTTTTCACTTGCGCAATCGCCTCGTTTATCTTAGTGCACGTGTCCTATTGATTTCGAAAGCAGCTCGATTCAGAACGGAACGATCGAGCGAGGGCGCAGCCTCCATGCCGATGGGAGACTCGGCCCCGAGTCGCCGAATATGAATGCGGAGGGATATGAATGCGGAAACTCCGGCGGGAGGAGCCCGATTGTCATAGACGGACACTCACCTTTACTGCATCCCTTTGGGCTGCTGCCTGCGCTTGAGCCATTCGACGGAGATTTCTGATCTCCACGCGAAGATCTTTACTTTGTTTCCGTAACTGTCGGAGCTGAACACACATTTCAGGTGGAACATTTTGATCTGCGAGGGGAAATTCGAGGACTGAGTGAGAGCCCTCCATGAGGCTTCGGGCGTTCCGGCGAGATTTTGATTTTGATCGAGCGAATATACGAAATTCACCTTTTTGAGCTAAAGATGCTGGTTTAGGAGGAGGTGGAGGCTTGTTCAGACGCGATTCCTTGTCTGGTAAAGCCGGCGGATTCGAAGCCGCGATGTAGTCCGCATCTGAAGAAGATTCGCCAACGATTGAGAGATCGATCCTAGATTCTGCATTCCACTCAGTTGGAGTGAATTCGAGCGACGCGAATCTCCTAGGGACTCGAATCGTACGAAGCATAGACTCTCCGAGAGAAAGATTCCCGTGTTCCATACGATAAATGCAAAAAGTCACGAGAGGCTTCAAGGGAAGAGGTGGAAACTCGGGGACCGGCGCGATTTAGGCATGAAGCTACCGCCACCGTTGTGGCGTTTGAGCTCAGGACCTGTGTACGGGGGATTTATCATTCTACGGGGGACCTTTTCCGGAAAAAACATGCAGGCTAATTCATTTCCTAGGTCTGGAACTTGAATATCCCCCAGAGTCCGAAGAAAGAAAGAAGCCATTTCTCGGGATCGAGTTGAAGACCGCGATCACGAAAAAACGAGTCCACGTAATTCGTAACGTTTAAAACTCGGGGATTCGTTTGACGGACTCTCGACATCTGCTACGGTCCCGGGACGTTTGTGGTCGTAGATGAGAGAGAGAGGTGCGGGCATTTTGGACTTTGGGCGTAGGAGGATGGACTGGCTGAAGACTCAAGATGCTTTTGGATGACGAAAAAATGGATTCGGGAAGATTTCGCTCTGATCAACGATGATGGCACGGAAACGCCTGGAATTTCATCCTTTCGGGACGAGAGGCCTCGTCTTCCTCTCGGACGTTCGACGTTGATCACACAATGCGGCGTTTACAGCGAACATTCGATCTAGAGATGGATCGGACATTGGCGTGGGATCGAAAAAATTCGAAATCGATTCAAAAGCCAAAATCGAGAGAGGACGATTGGCCCGAGGAAAAACATGAGCCATTCAAAAATGTGTCGAAAAAACTGACCCGACACAGAGTATGAGCGGAACCCTTTCAATGCGGGTTTGATTGGTCTATCGGCTGCAATTAGAATAGAGTTAGGCGTGTGTACATCGAGGTATCCGATTGTATACCCGAGGCTCTTTGTCTGCAAGCGATACCTTGTGAAGGTGAATGTGTTGATGGTGTTAAGGTGGATTCGCAGAACGATACGGATTTCTCCTCTGGCGTAATTCAAAGCCCAAAGTTAAATCGTACGGAGAGCGGACAATTCATCATCAAAAATGGATCGAGGGCGGAGGTAAGGGAAAGGGGTTGAAAACGGGATTAGGAGCCGGGAGAGGAACGGATTCGAGTCGAGGGGCTCGACAGAAGAGGCTTCCGGGGTACGCCGCGATATAAGGCTCCAATTGAGGAAGTGAAACTCGAGCGCATCCCTTCCGTTCGTTGGGGTATGAGACTCGGGGAATAATCCCTTGACAAAGAGAAGCCTTTCAAAAAAGAACTTTTGACGGTTCAGTCCGGCATTCCGCGGACTCAGAGTTTCGCCTGACGCGGAAAGGGACTAAGTCGGAGTAGACTCGAACAGAAATCGACTGATGGCTCCATTAAATACGGGAAGGGTTCCGAAGATTAAACTCTCGCAGTACCTTTGAATGATTGTCTTGACTTTGAGATCGGCATTGCAAGCGTCGATGAAGGCGATGAGCCGTCTGGAGGGTCGAAGCAAAACCCTAGTTTCCGTTTCTCTGTCGACATACCTACTCCACGCGAATGTGTCCCCCCCATGAGTCAGCTGCGGCTAGTTTCTTCGTCGCAGATTCAGAAGGCGGAGCGGACATACATACCTTTATCGGTGTCTCGAGTAGGAATGAGGTGCTGAGGTCGATTGGGTGCTCCAATCCCGTGGTGGCCTCCTTGGACATTCACGGAGCTGCCGTGGGGCGTTGGACCACTCGGCGCCAAAGCTTTGTGAACCAGTCCTGTTAAACTAGCAAGTTGTCGTTCCATGTATTCCACTCGCAGCCGTGCTTCTTCGTCAACTAACGGACCACCGCCTGTAGGATCGAACACACCGGAGCACATTGAGCGATGGGCCAGAGCACCTCTCGTGAGAGAGGGATTTCGCAGAATTCCAGCTCGCGGGTTTGTGAAGAGAGGAACCTACCCGGCGGTCCTTGAGCCAGTCGAGGGTCGAAAAATTGATCGGCTTCATAGATGATCCTCGAACTCCTTTCGGGAGAACTAAGATAGCCTTCGGGAGTTCGTGAGCGCGGCATCATCTCGTGTGGATTGTATGCGCGTCCTGGAAGTCGACAGCGACCCAATCAGACAGGAGACTCCGGTCGATAACTCCCGAATCTGATTCCAGACTCCGAGACTAGGCTACAAACAGGGCTTATGCGCACGTGCGTATCGATTAGCGTGCAGTTTCCGAGGCGGAAACGATACCACTGCAAGCGCGGCAGTGCCTATTCGAATGCTGGAACTCGACTCGCCAATCGAAACGACGATCCACGAGACTCACGAGGCAGAGAGGCCCGTCAAGTACATTATACGATCACCATGCATGAGATTTTCCATCGATGTCGACACCGTGGATGAAGATTAATCTAGGAGTGACCTGCATGCGCGCCATTCATAGTGCAGTGAATACGTAGTTCACACGTCAGATTCTGCCCCGACGCGATGTAGAAGACGAACGTTCATGCGACGTATTTCCTTAGGCTACGGGGGGACGGAGCTGCACAATATGTTCGCCGTGTGAATTTCGTGTAAGCGGATCGGAGGTGCCGTCAGGAGCGGCCGTATTCTTCCGTGAAACTCGAAAGTCGAGTTCATCGGGAATTCAATAGCCAGCCAGCCAGTCAGTCAGAGAGTGATTTTTCTGTGAATCGAGTGAGAAATACGGAGAGTAAGCCAACACTTACCGGGGATAGGGACTCTGGCCGTTGGCGGTTGGGGACTATGGGGAGACCCCAGAGGGGAAACGCCCTGAGGGGTGAAACCGGCCAACCGCTGCGGCTTGGGAGGACCCACTGCAACATCGAACACTGGCGTTGTACAGCATCGCAGGCAAGACACTCAAATCAATCAATCACACACTCATTCACGCACCCTGCCATCCTCTCATCAGTCTGTCACTCTGACACTCACCAACGAACCCCATCAATCACTTTCACCAATCCCTTTCGTCATTACCGAACATGCGGTAGTCTCATCCCGGACGCATGACATGCGCTTACCTTTCGGGTTGAGGTCGTGGTGAGACTGGCTCATCGGAACCACTTGGCGCTTGTCGTCGGCTATCATTGGGACAACCCCTGAGTAGGTCATCCCTCGGGGAAGCGTTTGAGAGAAGCCCGTTTGGGGAGCTGCAACTGCGCCCGGAGGGACTGTTCGCATCGTCCGCTCGCTAGCCGCTGGCGAATACGGTCTCATCGGAGGCTGCGGTGGTCCCGCGCGATTTGCATACATTGGGACGCCGTAGTAATTCGATCCTGCTAACAGGGTAATGGGAGAGAAATTTTACGCTCGTTCAGACCATGGGCGTGTCGAAGTTCTCAGTCGCGAGGCAAACGAGCCCTCCGTGCGAATTTATGTAGACAATGTACTGATATCCTGTGAGAAGACAAGTCAGCGATGATCCGCTCGTACCTTTCGGTGGAGGACAAGGCGGAGGCCCTCGTTGGCGGTGCATGCTGTGGTTATTCGGGTAATCGGAGTCGAATTCGGGCTCCGAGAAATAACTCATGTCCTCCTGGGGATGCATCGGAGCCGGGGCGAACACTATCGGAGCCCCGCTCTGTGGATCGTGCTCGTAAATTCGCAGTACAGATCGATCTCGAATGTCACGTAGATCTGCAAGGCAACGGAGATGGTAACGAGCCGTACGCATCGCGGCCGAGGGAAGGGACGAGGAAGGAGCGAGGGGACCCAGGACTTGTCGACCAAGCAGAAGATCGGGACCTCGACGGCGGTTTCGCATCGGTCAGGAAAGAGGAGGCATCCATCCACGAAACGCGGGAGAACAATCGAATTAAAACTCCCGACGTACGGACCTTCAAGCTCGTAGAACATGTCGCGCGCAGGGTCGTGAATGTAGATGCGAATGATGGCCGAGTCGAGGTATTCCATCGTGAGTTGTCTTGGGAACGAGCGTACGAAAAGAGCTTTCACGGTGTCCATCGATGTGATTTCATTCGGTAGAAGAGCTCTCTTCGTCTCGTTGCGGTATTGTAGAAACACAAGACCTGTCAGAGAACAAGCAATCGTTAGGGTCTAGCTCTTAATACATCACTGGCGGGAGTTCCATAAAAAGTATCAAAACCCACTCAGACGATAGTCAGAGGCAAACCAGATGCGACAGCTAGGAATGCAGCAACAGCAGCACCAATATTGCTCTCGGGTGGGAAGGCTGCTTGGTTAATGGTTAGAAGCTCACGTACCAAGGGACATCATCATTGCGGAGCCGTACTCATTGTACGCATAGATCCCGCCGGCAAAATCAGACGGATCTGCACGTCGTCGGCGTCGTTGGTGACGGTCCACGCAGCAAAGAGGCAACCACAGTGTTAGTTTCGAGGAGAGAGAGGATCCGACCATCGAACACAAACACGAATGCTCGGCGGCGCAAAGAACGACGGATTCAGACGAACGAGGCAACTGACGGACATCAACCATGTACCGATTCGGGGAACCGACCGGAGCCAGCAAGCCACAACAACGGAATAAGAAGGCTACGAGGTGCAAGGGCGTCGTCTCGACCAACCGAAGGTCAATCAAGGGTGTGTCTCGCGCGGGGGAAACGAGCCCACGAGGCAAGGGCAGGAAAGGAAAGAAAAAGATAATCCTCTTTTTCTCAGAACGCTTCGACCTCGCTTCGGCTCGAACGGCATTTTCTAAATGATGGAACACTCTCCTCGGACTACGATCTTAAGTGGCCGATGGACGAGATCGATTCCCCTCTGGATCGAGAACTCGTTCCTATCTCGATTCGCGGAACTTTCGACTACACTGATTGGAAATAGGAGAGGAGAGCTGTGCGGAAGATTTAGTGCTTCGAGTGGAAGAGCTCAGAATCGTCGATCCCGTAAGTCGAGGGCGATGCTCTAACTTCGCCTCAGATTGGATTCGGGACCCATATATATGGTACGCGGAGGCACGGCTTGTGCTGGCGAGGCCGGATCTCTCATGCAGTGGATTATGTCCTTCTCCTCCTCTATGTAGTACAGGCCGATTCCGACAGGAAGCCTTACTCACCCAGGGGTCGTTCGTTAGTCTTGTTAGGCGTTCTGACGATCGGTAAGCTGGAGCGGGCCTTGGTGCCCCTCCGGAGTCCGGTCGCAGAGGTCTCGACCTCTGACATGATCCCTGGATCGTCGTCATACAGTGCTGCTGGCGGTTGGTACATCGGAGGCTGCATTGGCCCCATCACACCTGCACCCGTTGGACCCTGAGATAGACGCTGGATGGGGAAGAGAGAAAGCATAATAATTAGAAAGCGACTCGAGGGACTACAGGGATGAGGGAAATATATCCTTGAGTCCTAAATTATTCATTCGACGTTCATGAGGGAGCAGAAACATTCCAGCCTTTGAGTTTCCTATCAAGAGAAGGATGCTTCCCGGAGTTAAATTCCTCCCGGGCGATGGGAGCCTTCTGGGAGCGGATAGAAAAATCGCTCAAATTGGAACAGTTTAGCTTTTCGCTCCTGACCAAATGTCGCTACAATCTGATTCCCGACACTCCTTCGCGAACCATCTGTCATGACAGCGGAGTTGGCTTCTGACAACTCATGTCGCTGTACACCTGAATTAGATGGAGCGCTTTGAAAAACTCGAGCTCCGAGTCGTGGTCTCTCCAGAGCTCTCTTTTGACCTGGGCCATTCGTTCTTGGGCCGAGATTCTTCTCGGCCGTAACGGCACTCGACGAAACGAGCGCGCCTCAGAGAACATTTACAACCCATTCACCTCTTGTTTTCTTCCCATGAGAGTTGGAAACGGCGTTCATTCGGGAACTCGGACCCCAGCGAGCCATTATGCGTGCGGGTGAGCTAAAAAGTCGCCGTGACAGCTCTCCTTCGATATGTAAGTGAGATTCGAGAAACCTGAAAGTCGCTCCCCATCTCGACGGGAATGTCTCAGTCTGAAATACGTCGACGTCGGACTCTGAGCCTTGGGATGGCCGAGCCAGGGAACTATCCGGTGAGCCGATGGAACTTACGAGGTCCTTGACGGAATTCGAGTTGTGCATGGCGGCTGCAGCTGCAGCAGCGGCGGCGGCCTTCTGAGCATCCCGGTGCTCGGCTCTAGTTTGCGCTTTGGCCTTACTTGCTCCACTGACTCCTTGCTGGTTGTTGCCCCCCAGAGGCGCCTGCAGAACCCGTCGAATGAGATGTTGCTTGTGACGATGACTAGGCGGTGCGGGCGGCGGCTCGGGACTGCTCTGGCCAGAAGACGATGGAGAACCCGCGCTGACCCCCGACGAGGCCGTCGATGGCGGCTGCGAAGAGGGCCTCAGCCGAGTTGAAATTGCGTTCAACATGTCACCAGAACATCACACCAGGATCCTTGTTTCTCAGCAACAAGTCGAAAGCCGCCGATAGCACAATCGGAGTGAGGCCGAACGGACGACTCGGCGAGCGAGTGAACGACGGAAGTACGGAACGTGAACAGGGCGGAAAAAAATCACAACACGGAAATATCGCGAAACACAGAGGGAACTCTCGATCGATCGAGGAATAGAAGAATGAGGAAGGAGAATAAGAAGAGGAGGAGGTGCGGGGCCCGGAACGATCGTAATTCACCGACGAGCCATCGAGCGTTCCCCACTGGCTGAGCTTCGGAGCGTTCCAGCAGCGATGGACAGGACAAACACAACGCGATGGGCCGCGCGATGCGTGGGGTGGGCTTCCCTCGATCAACTGCTCGAGTGGATGGATGGAGACGGCTTCTCTTCCACTCCCGACTCACTATCTCGCTCGCTAGTTTTGTCGATGATGGGGCGCAGAAACAATATGGCACCACTGACGTCGGACGTCGCGCACCAAGTGGGAAAGGGGTTCGAAGTCTTCAGGGAGCACCGCGAAGGAAGATGGAGCTCATGTTGAGCCGTGGAACTTCCGACGACGATTTCGAAGCCGGTTCATTCGCACAGCGGCTAGAGCTCTCGGCTCTTCTGAAGCCCGCTGGCTCGCTCGACTTGGGAGATCCGCTGCAAGTTCTCACTCACGAACAAGCGACTCCCTGCGCACACGCGATCCACCGGGTCAGGACGGGTTCCTACCGGGCCCACTAGAGGGCTCAGTCGCTGTCTCTTTCGCTCGCCCGCCTGTCAGTCCGTCCGCGCGCCCGATGGGGGGCGACCGCCACTGACAACACAGCCTCCACCACAGCCGGCCCGTTGCCTCCGCGCCGCTTACCAACCAGCCCCTCTCGAATGCGTCGTCTGCTCTGTCAACTGGCGACGCTTTCGTCAGTGAGGAGAACCAACGAGCTAGTTGCATTCGCTGGGGTGGGGGGAGTCAGGGGATTATATCGTCTGCTAGACTGTAGCAAGAGTAGAAGGAAACATTGCTGAGTAGCTTCACGGAATTGCGACTTTGTTTTATGCTCGGATGCGGGGCGAATTCCTCTCTTCCGCATCAGCGATTAATCTAGCTCTTCCGTCGAAACAGGGAGCCAGAATTGACGGACGAGGCGATTTACGCCGAATGAACTCCTGTGGGTCACGTCGAGGACGGAACTCCGTCATGAGAGTTCGCCTCATCGATGGAATGGAGAAATTATCGATTATATCGTAACCACCAATGATTCGGTGGAGAAATTGATATTCATTCTCCGAAATGAATATAGACCCTGTCGGAAACAGAATGGGAGTACGTCGATCGTTATTTTCATCCCTTCATCCGTTTTCGGCTTCGAGCCGTGAAACTTCCACAGACCTCCATTCCCCCACTCCCAACGCATGCTCGAATGACGAGTTTTCATTCCATATGCTTCTCATCGTGGAATTCAACAAGTGCCAGGAGTCAACAGGTATCGCTCCACGCGCTCCCGCAATCGGAAGGAACACTTCATTCCAACCTGTTGAGGGCCCGATACCCGGATTACTCGCATCGAATGAGTAGGTGTAGGTAGTAGGGCGTTTTTGTCTATAGAGGTACTGTCGAGTAGGCGGTTCTCATGAATCAGAATATCTTCAGAACTCGATCCCAATGCGGTTCTGAGCGGATGAGGAGGATTCACTCCATTCGGTTGTAGCTCTCTCCCGGCATGGCCTTCTTGAGCTCTTTGAGATACGGAGTGAAACGAGGTCGCTATCGAGAAAAAACTTCTCGAACTTCAAAATACAGAGGGAGACCGCTAAGGGTCGGCGCAGCCGCAAAGCGAGACGAGTGCTTACGGAAAGATGAACCTTACGTTCGAATCGTGGATTGTTTCGAATATTTCGGGGGCGGGAACGGCATGACCTCGTGTCTGCGCTTTCATGCCTGGCGGAGAAGCGACTTAGGAAACGCGGACTGTTTTCAGACCGGTGCAAGCTTCCCGAAATGGGCGCCTTGAGGATGCCTTTCTCTCAGGAATATATAGCGGACGCGGACGGCCTCGAGCCTTGTGATTAGAATCGATCGGCTATCGTTTCATTGCTGTCGCACTTGGTTGCCGGGGGATCCGACGATACCTTCAATCCCATCTTCTCCGCAAAAAATGTGTCCGGACACAAATTACCCGAGTTCACGGACGTAAATTCAACTTATGCTTCCTGGGCGAGAGGAATTCTGTGGGCGGAGAGCGAGGCAGGAACACCACGCGAGCGAGAGCACTCCCAAAGAAGGTGCCAGGATTCATCTATCTAGGATTCGAGACGTCACGAGCATGACGAGCTACGCCCGCATGTCTCGGGAGTCATTCCCTGAAAGACAGCAGAAGAAACTGATCCTTGACTCACTTCTATTTTTTGTTGGTCGGGTCTCACATCGTCGGGGTGATGTCGAGCTCGAGCGCTTAATCTACGAGGATCTACGCTGGCGTTGGAAGTCGCGCTTTCAACAGAACCTGCAAGAAAAATTGAAAGCTTGAGTACGTCATTTTTCATTCACGTAGAGAGACAGACAGACCTCTTCATTTTCGCCGGTCTCATTCGGAAGGTACATTCGAACCTTATCAAATTTTAACTCGGTTAGTTCGGATGTCAGCTCCCTCTTTGCCAGAGGTAAAAAAACTCCAAGACTTCAATCTGGAGACGCGAGAGCTTCCGAAAGCTCAGGGAAGAGCGACTCGACGAACAAAAACAGCTCCGAAGTCCTTCGGCAGAAGAAAGTTCTTTCGGGGAGCTCCCCGGCGGGAAGTACGGCGGGCAGAAATTCATGACATCCTATTACCCATTCTAGGGATTAGCAAACGTCCACATTCAACTGTGTCCTGCCTCCCTCGTTAGAATTCTCTAGCGAGATCCGATTCGCGACGTTAAGCAATTTTCTCCGGTGGCCGAGGGAAGGGACTGCTCGAATATTCATTTTCAATTCAGAAGAAAACACGGAACTCAGCTACGGGGAAGGACCAGGAATGTGCTGCGAGCTCTCTTGGGTACATTGAGTTCGTTCTCATCGAGGGAATTGGCGGAGCCCGGGACCCCGCTGATTATCCCAATGACGTTCTTCGAGACGACAACCGGCGAGATCGATAGGACAGGTGTCCAATAAATCCTCCGCCGCTTGAAATATCGAGTCGTCATCTTTCACAGCTATAGAGTGGAAGTGCTGGACTGTCCAGGTGGGGTCCGATCGAAGCAGTAGAAATGCTCCGGGCTCGATTAAATAATCCCGAGTCCCTGGAAAAACAGTGACGTCGAAGTGGGTCAAGCGAGGCCGCAGCCGTTCAGAGGACTGCTCTCGGTCTGAGTCTCGGGGAAGACTCGGGATCTAAAAACAATCATCGTTTATATCGATAAAAGTTCGGGATAACATTCCAGTCGATCGAAATGGATGTTCCGCGAGTTTTTTCTCGGCAAATGAATAAACGAACCCAGATCTGGATTCGGCTTTTTTCAGAAACTCGAGCTCATGCAATCCTGTTAGAGCCTGTTACGCCGACGGACGAAGCGAAGTCTTTGGAGAAGCCGAGTGGCATCGTAAACAGTCCGAAACTTATATAGCGATCGACCGCCATATTCGTTCGTCCGTTTTGATGCCAGATCCGCAGCTGATCCAGAAACAACAATCAACCTGGATGGAGGATTGTACGAAGCATACACGGCTCGTAGTCTTCCTCGTCATCGTCGCTGACAACTTTCCGGAAATCGAAGTATTTCAGAACATCGCACGTCTTTCGATCCCCGCAGTCTTCGACTTGAGGCACTTGGAGGGAGCACGAGAAGCCAAGAGGCGAAACGAGAGCTCTGGGAGGGGACCCGGCCATACCTCCGGGTATCGGGATGGATCCATGAGGCGCAAGCATTCTGTTGATATCAATGCATTGGGAGCCGATCGATGTATCCATTGTGGGTGAGAGAGCTCTGGTCGTCGTTCCTGTCCTCGTGGAGCTCGAGCCGGCGGACAGAGTAGATTCCGGGGACGTGGGTCGCGAGATCGGCAGTGGGAGGGGGGTATCGTAGATGCTATTGAGCGGCTCGTTTTTGACCTCATCCCCGGACCGCGAGACGGGCTCTTGCAGAGACTTCGGTCGCGTCGAGCCGACGGTGGACGACTTCGGGGCCGGGGGCAGCGCGTCGTGATGTGATCTGGGCCGTTCTTTTGTGTCTTTGTGGAGAACAACAGCGGACGGCGATAATGGACGCTCCTTGGATTGGGAGCGCTCCTTTTTTGGGGGATTGTTCTCATTCTGAACTGAAGTAGACACATTTGGCCGAGCGTCTGAGTCGTTCAGGTTGATCACTTGTGGTGTGAGCACTTTTTCCTTCTCTTTCGAGCGACTTCTCTGGTAGGATCGTAGGAAATACATCTTCCGGTCACAGGTCACAGCACAGAGTTCACCCCTCGTATGTTTCCCGACGGAAAACTATCGAAAGGCGAAAAGCAAAGTACAGATTCTGAAATTTTCCGAGAACGGGCACGGGGAAGCAGACTCCGTTCTCGCCATGGTGTTACCATTCGCGAGCTTACAGAGAAACACTCGGAGACACGCACGCACAAGGGAACCGAAACCAGTTGGGTGCTCTCCGAAACCACGCTCTCCACCCGGCAAACTAGCCGGAGGACCAGCGAACGAGCGCGCTCAGAAATAGCTACTCAGACGCAGCGCGGAATATGGCAGAGCACAGTGTTCCCACAAGGTCCAACAGTGAAATCAAAAGGGTCGAGCGCATTAGATGCTGATCACATTTTTCCATAGTGAGAGATCGTAAAATATCCAGCGGCCACATTGCGGAGGCGAATCGTTCTCCGAAATTCTCTCTGAATTGGCATCCTGCTCGCGCAGCTTTCGCAATCGGGTTCTCGAGAATTACTTTGAGACGCGGCGTTCGAGTTCGAAAAGAGACGATCCATGGAAAGCGGATGCTTGAACAATGAAGCCTTGTGTCGGGAGGGAACAACACCGAGCTCTTTCTAAGGAAAATTAAAGAAGATTCACGGGTTGATACGAAACTTCGGATCATAGCTCTATCGGGCGTTCCCATTGTAGGTTACGCGGTATACGGTCCAGCCGGACGAGCGTGAATTGGTGTGAAGGAGTTGTTCTGCAAACGGAGCCGCTGAATCGAATGTGGACAAGTGATTCAGTGGAACGAATTTTTCAATAGGCTCCGAGCAATCTGGCGAAGTGGGCAAAGACCCGGTTGCCTCTGCGAGACGGTCCGCTGGGCGGCCAGTCGGTGCGATCGAGTTCCTTTCGCGACGGAAAATTTCGATTGTCGTATTGTCGATTTTCCCAACATGAGCTTATCGACGCCTGCTGGGGGAAGCGAACTGGGAGGCTCAACCGAACGAAGTATGGTGACCCAATTCCTATACCGAGCAAGAAACGTTTTTGACGTTTCGCCGCCCCGGTCTCTATGAAGAAGCTCCTCCGACGCGGAGTTCCTCCTCCTGCGAGAACCTACGACACGTCTCGAGTCATTCGACCTCTAAGCTGACTTATCGAGCCGCTGATCCATTTGGAAGAGCTGTCGAGAAGTGAAGCGGCTGGTCGAATACTTTCTGTTTTCTTTCGATTGTTCCCCGCGGGAAGCTCCCCTCGACACAGCGGAGACGTCTGATGCTCCTGACTTCGACGAGAGATACTCTCGGAGCATCCGGTTAGTCGTGGGCTAAACGTCCTGAGAGGCTTCGATTCCCTCGGAGCTGTCCCACCGAGAGGGAGTACCTATACTCGGAGCAAGTCGAGAAGAAGCCAAATAAAACTACATTCTTATCCGATCTTCTCGGGACGTATGTGTCTTATCTACGAAGAGCCGATTGACGTGAGAGGTTGCCTGGAATTACTCAGCGTCACGTATCGAAACGAGTCCGGAGCTCCGCACCTGGAACCGATGCGACGTGCCGGTCCGACTCCACGCATGGATCCATGCCGTGGCTCGAATGAGCTTCCGGTGGGTCGAAAATGCCCGGGAGGACTTGGCGAGCAACCCGTCGAAATTCTTCGATCGCTCTGCATCCGCCGAAGGGACAGGGAAAACCCGGTTCGGGGGGACTCATCCCGGTAAAGTCGATCAAGTAGCAATCATGCGTATGATCTTTTGAGAGGGAAGATTTCGCAATCAAATGATCCCTCAATGAGCAACGATTCCGTGAGCCCTCCTCATCTCGA